TTTCCTGATATCATATTTTACTAGATTAAATACTAAATCTGATTTCTGAAATTTCTTTAATTGATACCTTGAGCATCAGCAAAAATTAAAGTTGATTGTTAATATTTAGATTGAAATGTTTTTTCATTTTACTGAATATTGCAGCTCATATATTTAGTATTTAAAAGCCAATATATGCTACTTAGAATTTACCATTATTTGTAAAAATCATGGATTGATAAAGAATAATAAGCTCTATGTTTCTTAAAACCTTTCTTGCCCTTATATCTGTTTTGAGGGCTCAAAATCTAACAATAATCAAAATAGTGCTGTGAGTTGTAGTATTATATCTTGTAAATTATAAGGTCAATACCACAGTTTAATGTTATTCCATCAGAACCACTTCAGAAAAAAAGAGAAAAAATCCATTTAATTTTAGAAATGATAATTGAAATTTAAATAAGTGATAAGGTGGCAATCCTGTTATCTCTTGAAATGATGGTTAGAAATAAAACAAATATTTCACAGTTATTAGCTTGCTTTTCCGATTAAGTGATAAATATTGTTTTGTTGTGTTTTTTAAAATAGATTTCATGTCGGCTTTTACAAACACTGAGAAGTAGTTTGTCAATGGGAGTTTGAGATGTATTGATAAGTTACCTTGCACATTACTTATGTTTATTATTTGAATGTCTCATACTTTGATTAGTATAAGTTGACATAACTTGTTTCGCAATTGTTGTAAAATAAATAAAGTTCATATTATACTTTGCAGCAAGACAGAGAGTGTGGAAAGACAAATGTCTATAGACATTATATTTAGAACACTCTTTTTAACATATTAAGACTGATAACTTTAGAAGTGAAGAATAAGAAATTATTGTGTGAAATCTTTAGCAAAGAACTGGTGTAACTATTATTACTTTCTTCAGCTTACTCATATTTACAGTGTACTTACAGTTACTAAAAATAACTTATTCGTCGAAATTGCTTTGTATTTTGTTAAAATAAATAATTTTTACAATTATTGATGATGTTAGGCATTTTCTAAGATACAAGAAACAAGAAGGGTACGATTATCATTAAAAGAATGATGAATCTATGTTAATTCATTTGTGTGTTTGTTTTAGGTTTTTTCTCCATTTTTGCAATTTTGGAAATGGAAACCTCTGGAAAATTACGATTTTAACAGTAATATGATGTTACCTTATCATTATTGTTAATTTGCATGTATGTGAATTATGTGTACAATCAATGCTATTGACGTATTGTTGGTAGGATTTTTGAAGGCCTGTAGTAAGCTCGTCAGCTAAATATTTTGTTCCATCAAGAAAAGGGCTTTGTTTTCAACACGCTTGATATTGTAAATATACTTCATGTTAACCTTGAGGTGATCTTACACTGTAGCCAAAGGAAACAGCAGCGTAATCCATATAAATAACCCGTAGGATGTAGTGCTCGAGGCAATTAATCCAAAATACAGAGGCGGAGATATATGTTGTAATATGGAAACGTCATCGTCGACCTTGAGATATCACTCATTATTTTATTTTTCACCCTGACATGACGTTCCGGACTTCTCCATTTTACAGCATAATACATAAATCTATATTTGGGTGTTTAACTAAATCATGAGGCGCTCGACATGTCATGGATATCGGCTTTATAAAAAGCTTCAACACTAGAAATATCTAGCATTTTGAACAAAATACATTTTATATAGCTTAACTCCGTTAAGTTTAAATCACTTTTACCGAGACCGCTGAAGCATCGAAATAATAATAATAAGTGGTTCAAATATCCGTGTTATCTAAGTGCATTTATACTTATTTAGTCACAACCAGGTTGTTAAGAATTTATGGTCAATTTCCGAAATATCTATACACTGGGTTTTTTTCCATCACCCAATATTGTATGGAGTCATTAACTGTAATGTCACAGAAGACCTTTAAGTTCTGATGCAATTATATACTTAGTACAGTATTAGCACTGTCTATCAGCTATCTGTCATGTCATGGACATACTTTTTTATTCTGATTCAGTTAAAATATTGAAAATGATAACAAAATTGGAGTTATTTTCTCGGATATCTGTTATATTTGCATTGTCAATACTTTTAGAGTCAAATATCCGTCAAGTTAATCATAAAGTTTAGATCTTGAAAGCTATTGACTGTAACTGTACGGGTTTGATCTGCTGAATTTATCGCCCTGTCAACAACCAGAGTCGTATTGAGACAGGATTTCCTTGCAGTAACTGTTGACTGCTCACTGTCTCATACGAAAAGCCACAAAACACGACAGCGTTTCCAAGATTCTGAACCACTCAACCGCCATGGTCTAGAGCGTGGAACCACACACCTCGCGTCTATACCTGAGGCTATGTTGGTTAATGTTCTAGCGACTGGACTATCTTGATGAGAGACTTTCAGGCATTCTGACGGATTTATAAGATATTTCGTTTTTTGTGGTCTTTCATATTTACATGATTAAATATCCTATGTAGCATGTCCATTAAAATGAAATTAGATTTTAAGGGAAACCGATATATTTTCAAAGCATTGTCATTTTCTGAGACTTTGTCATTTTACCTACTGTATAACATGAAACATTCGTGGGTATGTTCTTTTATTGTTTAAGCGTAAGATCGTCGTGTCGTTTTCCGAGACTTTGTCATTTTACCTACTGTATAACATGAAACATTCGTGGGTATGTTCTTTTATTGTTTAAGCGTAAGATCGTCGTGTCGTTTTCCGAGACTTTGTCATTTTACCTACTGTATAACATGAAACATTCGTGGGTATGTTCTTTTATTGTTTAAGCGTAAGATCGTCGTGTCGTTTTCCGAGACTTTGTCATTTTACCTACTGTATAACATGAAACATTCGTGGGTATGTTCTTTTATTGTTTAAGCGTAAGATCGTCGTGTCGTTTTCCGAGACTTTGTCATTTTACCTACTGTATAACATGAAACATTCGTGGGTATGTTCTTTTATTGTTTAAGCGTAAGATCGTCGTGTCGTTTTCCGAGACTTTGTCATTTTACCTACTGTATAACATGAAACATTCGTGGGTATGCTCTTTTATTGTTTAAGCGTAAGATCGTCGTGTCGTTTTCCGAGACTTTGTCATTTTACCTACTGTATAACATGAAACATTCGTGGGTATGTTCTTTTATTGTTTAAGCGTAAGATCGGTTTTTTTTCTTAGGCTTACCATATATCTATTCTTATAATTCTTCTATTTGAACCATTTTTATTTTAGCGTAGTGACAATTGCTATGAAACCAAGTTTCTTTTAAATAAATATTTTATGTTATTCTGATGATTGTGGATCGAAATACTCTTAATGTCAAAGTGAAAGATCTTTTCTCATTATAATCAGGATTATTCTAATATGTAACTCTTTGTGATACTATGTAATAATTTTGTAATAATAGACATAATATTTATAGGTTTAGGCAGTGATTTTAGGTTGTTTTTTCATGGAGTCTTTTTTTCGGTATTTTCGAGAGTGGAAAACAATCTTGAAAAAGGATACATTGAAAATTAAATCGATCGATACATACATAATCCGTGAAAAATACATAACTGTTTTACTCCAAGCTTTAAAAAATTAAATTGCACAATAAAATATATAGATATGCATTGTATTATTGGCTGAAGCGTCTATTATGTCACAATTACTTTATTCAAGAAATTTACTAAAGCACCTACAAACATTTCCGCTTTGACAGAAATGAATATCGTTACTTTATCACTTCAGTTTCTTGTTAAAAGAAAACGATCTCTATTTTTTTCCAATTTACTTTCATCATTACACTGATTAGTCTATCCCCGGGGGGCTTGATCACACCTATCCAAGCTTGTTTCGAACCTCAGATGCTTGGCACAAAAGAAAATACGAACCGTACCTGTAATAATATCTTGAACTTTGATCTTACAGCAGTGTCGGTCATTTCAATCAGAATTTAATTTGGTCATTTTTGTGAGACGTTTATAGACATTTATCAATAAGTATGGGTAATATGAATATCTGATGACATTTTTCAGCGACGACAATGCGTTATTTGTGAGTAGCGATGACCATGTGGATATGTCACAAGAGAAATTCTTTATAGATTCCAATAAAAAATGTTTGGTATGATCAATTATATCAATGCTAATGTCTTTTGCAGTACGTTCGATTTCATGTTGTTCTGGGCCTAAGATCAAAGGTCAAACATTGAACCGGATGTTGATTTAGTAAGCATTACCTAAGTACACTCATGAATAGTGAAACAATTTATGTTATGAAGTACTACAACAATTATTCTATCAAAAAAGATTTTATACGTTTTTATAACAACTTTTTATTCCGAACTCTGAAATACAAGAGGATATTTGTGTCTTCATGTCTAACCATTTTCCGTGACATGTTTTTATGTTATTTTCGTCTTTTAAAACATGTTCGTCATATTGAAACACCGAGCCACTATTGGTACCGTTCTGTTCCATGCCGGTTATCAGTTACCAGTAGAGTAGTTTGTAAGAACTGTATTCTGAAAGTTACATAACAAAAAGAATTAATCTAAAAACGACTATTTGAATGCTGAAGCAGACTAATATTTGAAAAGTAATTTCCGTCGAATTGGCATTTTATTTATAAGAAACAATGTAATGTCAAGTATAGGAAAATCTTTTATATACATTAACATTTTTACAGATATAATTTAAGAATGTTAAAATAGAAGCTGGACATGTAAAAATAATGTTTCAGTTAGTAAAAACTGAATATTCGGGATTTGTATTAACCATAAAAAAATCACTATATATCAAACTACAGAAATCCAACAAATACAATAGCAAGCTAATCGAATGAAGTTGGATTTAATGGGTCACCCAAATGCTTTATACCATCTGGATTATAGGAGTATATATAAGATCGCCTGGTGAAAAAAATAGCACTATAAAATCTCCAGAATGAATCAGGTGGCAATGTTAGACACAGGTGAAAGTGATTATAATCGCATATTATTTCTTATTATAAAGTGTGTTCCTCCTCCAAGTCTTTTCCATTGACCAACAACTCTGTTCTTGTTGAAACTGTTATCCTTTCTGCGTCGTGATACGGTTCTGTGAAACACTCACAATCTGCACCATAGTCTCCATTTTCTGTATCAACAATGGATGATTTTCTCCTTGTGTTTCTACGATCACCGTAAGAATTCTGCCACTCTTCTCTGATTTTATCCGCATAACACTTAAAGCATCGAGACAGAAGTCTGTAGTAGCCCATTTGGACATCTCGTAAACGCACTGCATAAATAATCGGATCACATACAGAGTTCAGCAGCAATAAAGCATAAAGATATTTATTAGCACGCAGGAAAGTCACAAATAACTTTTGCACTATTTCCCGATTCACACGAATTTGAATTATCATTGCAATTTTGAAAATGCACGTGGGAAGCCAGCAAATGATGAATGTGCCGATGATGAGTAACGTTGTAATGAGGGACTTTTTGTTATGAAAGTTGTCTTTTTGTAGGTACGTCAGTCTATTATTGATCTTCCTTACTTCACAGTAAATCCGTAAATACATAAAAGAAATACACACAAAACATATAAAGGTGACGAGCATAACGAGGTATTCGCCATGAAAATCATTATACATGATTACCTCGCAGTAATTTACATACCGTGCACGGTTTTTGTATGAACCCAGACCCGTTAGGAAGTTGCAAAATCCACCAATAAACGCGAGAATCCACAAAAAAGCAATAATGATGTTTCCTTTCTTTCGACTCAGAATTGTGTTGTAGTAAAGAGACTGGAAAACGGCAGTGTAATGGTCTATGGCCATGGCGAGAAGATTTAAAAGAGAAATCAAGTGAGCCATGGTGTTCAATCCATTGATCAAAGCAAACATGCAAGACGATACCAGTCGATCGTTCGGGTCAAGCAGAGGTGGAAATTTGACAAAATTTAAAACTTTGTTGAGCAAATGAAAAAACACGCTGAGTGTAATAAGAATATCAGACAAAGCGAGGCTGATAATGAGTTTGGAGTGAGTGGTCAAACCGTGTGGGATGTTTGCTGTGGCACATATAGACAGTATATTAACTAACAGAGCCAAGAAACTCAGCAGTAAAATGAGTATTGTTTCTGGCTGACACAAAATCACTTCGACCCGCTCATGTAGGTTCTGAGGCTGAAGGTTGGCCCACGATGTTCCGTTGATAAAGCTAGAGAATTGATCAGTAGTATTAAAGAAAGCGAGAAACGAATGAAATGTTTCATTCATGATTACGCTGTTTTGTATGTAGAATTTATGTCACCCTTGAACCAGATGGCAGTTGACATGGTTAGCTGGATGGATGAATGGGACAAATCATTCAGGTAAAAAAATAGTTTGCCTTCAATTTATAGTGCATGCGTTATAATCAATATTTAATGTTACATGTTGGAATTCCTTTCTGTGAAGTCAAGATATCTGAATAACGATTGTAAACACGTCTTAATATCCATCTCTGTTTTCAGAGGTATTAGACAAACCTGTGTTATCCAGTATTTTTGAAGACACTTTCCAGCTGTACCAGGTAAATATGAAATATCCAGAAGGTTCCACAGAATCCAACTGTATCGTTGAAACTAGTAATATCCATTTAGTACATTTAGTACAGATAAATGATATTATCCAGATTTGATGAGAATTACAATTTGCTCTTTGTGTGTAACAATCGAATGCGAAATGAGAGTAAAACTATCACATTATCGATTCATTAATACTCCATCCATCACTTGTTATATATATCCCAGTTTAGATATGAAAGATTGGCTGTTTCCTTCTTTTAGTCAATCCTTTAAAGTAATACACAGAAAATATATTGACTTCTCGCTAAATAAATCAGCTGACTAGTTCGTCCTCATTGTAATATTCTCCATATATAACGACAGATATAAACTTTTGTAGAGAAATGTATTTTCCTGGTGTATACAATAATACACGTTTCTTGTCGAATGACTAAAGCTAACGTTAGGACGAATTTATTCCAACACCCGAAATTTATTTGCCGGAAAATGTTAGAATAACGCTTGGAGATATGAACGCGTGTTTAAGTACATGTAAGGTAGATATAGATAGTTAACCGCCGGTGTATGTTTGGTGTATTGCTGTGACAGCTATAAGTATTAGGACCTCTCCTAGGTTGACAGACCCATCATTCTTCTTTCTATATATAGCTTCATCTTAATAGTGGCAAACACACCTGCTTGATTTTAATGTAATTGTTCTAAAAACAGACTGCCAATTATTTTCAACGAGTCTTTGTGCATAGGTGTCAACATTTCTGTGTAATAAATTCACCGCAAACTATTTAAATGTAGTTTAGTTTTAGCGCTCCGACAGCAGACACTCTATCTTAATTATTTATTATTATTATTACGATGCAATTGTTTGCCTTTATGTAATAACCCTTCATTTATTCGGATACACCACGTCATTTTGAGCATATATGTCTTTGTCAACTAGTCCGAATATTCCTGGAAATTCATAGCTTGGTCTGATTGTATAGTTGTCCAGATTCTCCCGATATATAAAGCAAAAAGAAACCTGCTTTTTATGGTACGGAAACTTATGAAAATTTAAATTAAGTCTGCATTCACTGATCCAGATATTCACGGATATTCAAATCAAGTCAGCATTCTCCGATCCAGATATTCACGGATATTCAAATCAAGTCTGCATTCTCTGATTCGGATATTCATCGATATTCAAAACGAATTTGCATTCTCTGGTCATAATATTAATGCAATTTAACGCGAACAAGCATTTTCTGAGGTCCGTATATTCATGGATATTTAAAGCAAATCTGCAGTTACTTGTTTAGATACCCTGAACTCATTTGAAAGAATTCATCCTTTTTAGCAAACAGAAAACAAAAACAATGTGTTTAAATTAATACTTATGTAATTTTTGATAAGTTCATTTTATGAACTAGATTGTAGCATGTTTTCACATCGACATAAATCATCTATATAAATCTGAATATCATTTCTGCAGGAATAATTGGGTTTCAAAGTATTTAAAAGCATTATTCGCTACCGTCAATATAAAACTGATTCCCCTTCACCTAAGGAGGCTTCTGACTAAATTTAGGCAAAATCCAAACCTTCCTATATGAATTTGCTCTATTGTTGTTATTTCGCCCGCCCCTCCTGTCCCAAAGGTCCGTGATCCAACGTTTATACAAAACTTATTCCTCTTCACAAAAGACTAATTCAGACGATTTACGTGGTGTATGAGCAAAATCTAATCATCTCTACATTCCCTCAGCCCCCTTCTCCAAGGATGCTCTTGGCCAAACTTTGTCAATTCCGCTTAGTCATTTATGACTAGTAGCGATTTTGAGGGAACAATGACGGAAATCATCACATACACTTGATATATAAATAGATAACATCAATATTTGGAATTCAAACACACTCATCTGACGTTTTCATCTTTCATATCGATACACATACTCAGGAAGTTGATCATCGTTTAAGGAAATAGGTAGACACATCCTACTAATAAAAGTGCACCTTTCTGAGAATGGATGCTGTTGACCAACATCAATGATCCATGTAAATTTCAACACAACATATCCTTCTAACTGGACTTTATCTATCATAAAGTGACACATACAGACCGTTTTTTTTCTGGAAATTAACATTCAGTTAAAGAAACTACTTGTAGAAAGGTATCATAATGGATGAATTTGTGCTGACTGGCAGTAATAAGACAGGAAAGAATTAATATTACGACAAGGAACAGCGAGTTATTGCAATCTCTTACTCTCGTTTGATTAAGCATATACTTTATTCGCCTGATCTTACCCAATCAGACCTTCATTTATTTCCAAATTTTAAAAAAAAATGCCATTTCCGGTACCCACTTTCAGTCAGACTCGATGGCGTCATACATGTATTGGAGGACTTTCAGAACGGTCAAGAAATGGACTTCTTCAAAAGTAGCATTGAGGCCCTTTAACATCGCTAGCAAAGGTGTATAGATACTGAAGAAAATTATGTTGAAAAATAATGCAATATGTCTGCCAAAAGTCATACCCTTGAATATAAAGCTCACAACTCATCAATCAGCCCTCATACCTGACTGGTTGATGTTTAACATATAATACAACCACGGACTTAGAATACAATCTCTATTCTAAGTCCATGATACAACAGATAATGTTTCCCTTACACTTCACAGATGTATCACTAGTTTTCCAATGAAGAATTCAACGCGAGCATTGCCATGGACAATTTTGATAATGCGATGCATTGTTTCTATCAATAGAATACGTAGAAAACAAAAGTGTTTAATAAAAAAAATTCACTTCTTAGTGATAAAGACATATTTTTAAAGTTGAGCACTTTGCTTTAAACTTGTCTTACGAATGGATTGAAATACCCCTTACTTCACCTCTACTGAGGTGGATGGTTCTGAGTGAACAGATTTATCAATTTCATCATGTCCGGGTGTCAGCTAAACATGTATTATTTGAATATACATAAATCGAATCGATGTGATTCCTGTATATAATATGTTACTGTATGAATTTGTTTCTAACACCAGTTCCAAGATACGGTGTTTTTCCGGAAATGACATTCTCCAGTTTTCTTGTCCATATCCATTTCTGAGCTGTCGAAGATGAGCAAGGATTTAACTGTAACCGCTGTTTACCCTCAGTCAGTTCCATACACATATTAGTTCCTCGTAACATTAGATGATTGTCCTGTGAGAATGATTTCAGTATTAGTTACAATGTGATTGGTCTGTGAAAAGTAATATCAAATTCAGTGTTTGTATTTATATATGTAATATATTTTGCAAAGCAAACTACGTAGCCCATGATAGATAGAGTACAACGGTGATGAAAAAACAAAATAAAATAAATACGAAAAGCAACTAAAAACATTGTAGTTATTGATCGTTTGGCTTAAGGATACGTATCCAATTGAAAAACAGTCTACTGATGTTTTAGTTGACACAGCTAATTTGTATTGATATAATTACGATTGTTATATATATACATGACACTTAAATATCATTAACTTCAAAATAGATGATATTTTAATATAAAAATTTGACACTAGTTACAATTGTGCCAGAACTTGTCGGTAAGTATACAAAGCACAACAACGCGTCATTTTATGATAAAAGTTATTTTGTTGTTCTATTTGGTTATTAATATTGGCGATACGATCTGTTACAAACGCACATCGGACAGTCTATGCGTTATTGAAGCTCTTGGAGACGTTATGCGTTTGGGTCATGTGATGTGTAATGAATGGTATCCTCGTGTAAAATAATGGACTCTTTCATTTAAGAATACATAAGGCTGAGCAGTCAGAGGTCGAGAAAACGCTGTGTTGAAAGACCACAGAAGCGAACGCTTCTAAAGGTATTATAGTAAAGTTTTACCCCGAATAAGAGTGAGGGGAAGTCTGAATAAGACTTCCGTTTCCTTAATTAATTGTATAGCATAAAGAGGTGGTCAGATCCACTACGCAAGCACAGAATATATATTTTGCGACAACTTGGGAGGTGGCGGTAGCGCCAGTGCATTGTATTTTTCATATATGGGTCTAGCAGTGGCAGGTAGCCAGTGTGTAGTACATGTACTTACATGGATGTCGCGCACTGAAAGGTAGCGAGTGCATAGTACATGTACTTACATGTGTGTCGCACGGTGGCAGGTAGCCAGTGCGTAGTACATGTACTTACATGTGTGTCGCACAGCAGAGGGTCGCCAGTGCGTAGAACATGTACTTGCATGTGTGTCGCGCAGTGGCAGGTAGCCAGTGCGTAGTACATGTACTTACTTGCATGTGTGTCGCGCAGTGGCAGAAAGCCATTGCGTAGTACATGTACTGACTTGCATGTGTGTCGCACACTGACAGGTAGCCAGTGCGTAGTACATGTACTTACATGTGTGTCGCGCACTGACAGGTAGCCAGTGCGTAGTACATGTACTTACATGTGTGTCGCGCAATGACAGGTAGACAGTGCGTAGTACATGTACTTACATGTGTGTCGCGCACTGACAGGTAGCCAGTGCGTAGTACATGTACTTACATGTGTGTCGCGCAGTGACAGGTAGCCAGTGCGTAGAACATGTAATTACATGTGTGTCGCGCAGTGACAGGTAGCCAGTGTGTAGTACATGTACTTACATGGATGTCGCGCACTTACAGATAACTAGTGTGTAGTACATGTAGTTGCATGTGTGTCGCAGAGCAGTGTCGCCAGTGCGTAGTACATGTACTTACATGTGTGTCGCGAACTCACAGGTAGCCAGTGCATAGTACATGTACTTACATGTGTGTCGCGCACTGACAGGTAGCCAGTGCGTAGTACATGTACTTACATGTGTGTCGTGCACTGACAGGTAGCCAGTGCGTAGTACATGTACTTACATGTGTGTCGCGCACTGACAGGTAGTCAGTGCATAGAACATGTACTTACATGTGTGTCGTGCACTGACAGGTAGCCAGTGCGTAGTACATGTACTTACATGTGTGTCGCGAACTCACAGGTAGCCAGTGCATAGTACATGTACTTACATGTGTGTCGCGCACTGAGCAGGTAGCCAGTGGGTCGCCATGTGTGTGCGTAGAACATGTACATGTTACATGTGTGTCGCGCAGTGGACAGGTAGACAGTGCGTAGTACATGTACTTACATGGATGTCGCGCACTGACAGGTAGCCAGTGCGTAGTATATGTACTTACATGGATGTCGCGCACTGACAGGTAGCCAGTGCGTAGTACATGTACTTACATGTGTGTCGCGCAGTGGCAGGAAGCCAGTGCGTAGTACATGTACTTACATGTGTGTCGCACAGTGACAGGTAGCCAGTGCGTAGTACATGTACTTACATGTGTGTCGCGCACTGACAGGTAGCCAGTGCGTAGTACATGTACTTACATGTGTGTCGCGCACTGACAGGTAGCCAGTGTGTAGTACATGTACTTACAGATGCATGTTTGTCGGGGAGAAGAGGGTAGCCAGTGCGTAGTACACTGACATGTGTAGCGCAGTGTGTAGAACATGTACTTACATGTGTGTCGCGCAGTGACAGGTAGCCAGTGCGTAGTACATGTACTTACATGTGTGTCGCGCACTGACAGGTAGCCAGTGTGTAGTACATGTACTTACATGTGTGTCGCGCACTGACAGGTAGCCAGTGCGTAGTACATGTACTTACATGTGTGTCGCGCACTGACAGGTAGACAGTGCGTAGTATATGTACTTACATGTGTGTCGCGCACTGACAGTTAGCCAGTGCGTAGTACATGTACTTACAGCCAGTGCGTAGTACATGTACTTACATGTGTGTCGCGCACTGACAGATAGCTAGTGTGTAGTACATATAGCTGCATGTGTGTCGCAGAGCAGAGGGTCGCCAGTGCGTAGAACATGTACTTACATGTGTGTCGCGCATTGACAGGTAGCCAGTGCATAATACATGTACTTACATGTGTGTCACGCACTGTCAGGTAGACATTGCATAGTACATCTACTTACATGGATGTGGCGCACTGACAGGTAGCCAGTGCGTAGTATATGTACTTGCATGTGTGTCGCGCACTGACAGGTAGCCAGTGCGTAGTACATGTACTTACATGTGTGTCGCGCAGTGACAGGTAGCCAGTGCGTAGTACATGTACTTACATGTGTGTCGCGCACTGACAGGTAGCCAGTGCGTAGTACATGTACTTACATGTGTGTCGCACAGTGGCAGGTAGCCAGTGCATAGTACATGTACTTACATGTGTGTCGTGCACTGACCGGTAGCCAGTGCGTAGTACATGTACTTACATGTGTGTCGCGCACTGACAGGTAGCCAGTGTGTAGTACATGTACTTACATGTGTGTCGCGCACTGACAGATAGCTAGTGTGTAGTACATGTAGTTGCATGTGTGTCGCAGAGCAGAGGGTCGCCAGTGCGTAGAACATGTATTTACATGTGTGTCGCGCAGTGGCAGGTAGCCAGTGCGTAGTATATGTACTTACATGTGTGTCGCACAGCGGAGGGTCGCCAGTGCATAGTACATGTACTTACATGTGTGTCGTGCACTGACAGGTAGCCAGTGCGTAGTACATGTACTTACATGTGTGTCGCGCACTGACAGGTAGCCAGTGCATAGTACATGTACTTACATGTGTGTCGCGCACTGACAGGTAGCCAGTGCGTAGTACATGTACTTACATGTGTGTCGCGCACTGACAGGTAGCCAGTGCGTAGTACATGTACTTACATGTGTGTCGCACAGCGGAGGGTCGCCAGTGCGTAGTACATGTACTTGCATGTGTGTCGCGAACTCACAGGTAGCCAGTGCATAATACATGTACTTACATGTGTGTCGCGCACTGACAGGTAGCCAGTGTGTAGTACATGTACTTACATGTGTGTCGCGCACAGGACAGTAGTAGTACTTACATGTGTGTGTAGTACATGTACATGTACATGTGTGTCGCGCAGTGGACAGGTAGCCAGTGCGTAGTACATGTACTTACATGTGTGTGTCGTAGTACATGTACTTGACAGGTAGCCAGTGCGTAGTACATGTACTTACATGTGTGTCGCGTACATGTACTTACATGTGTGTCGCGCAGTGGCAGGTAGCCAGTGCGTAGTACATGTACTTACATGTGTGTCGCACAGTGGCAGGTAGCCAGTGCATAGTACATGTACTTACATGTGTGTCGCGCAGTGACAGGTAGCCAGTGCGTAGTACATGTACTTACATGTGTGTCGCGCACTGACAGGTAGCCAGTGCGTAGTACATGTACTTACATGTGTGTCGCGCACTGACAGGTAGCCAGTGCGTAGTACATGTACTTACATGTGTGTCGCGCACTGACAGGTAGCCAGTGCATAGTACATGTACTTACATGTGTGTCGCGCACTGACAGGTAGCCAGTGCATAGTACATGTACTTACATGTGTGTCGCACAGTGGCAGGTAGCCAGTGCATAGTACATGTACTTACATGTGTGTCGCGCACTGACAGGTAGCCAGTGTGTAGTACATGTACTTACATGTGTGTCGCACAGTTGCAGGTAGCCAGTGCATAGTACATGTACTTACATGTGTGTCGCGCACTGACAGGTAGCCAGTGTATAGTACATTTACTTACATGTGTGTCGCACAGTGACAGGTAGCCAGTGCATAGTACATGTACTTACATGTGTGTAGCGCAGTGACAGGTAGCCAGTGCGTAGTACATGTACTTATATGTGTGTCGCGCACTGAAAGGTAGCCAGTGTGTAGTACATGTACTTACATGTGTCGCGCAGTGACAGGTAGCCAGTGCGTAGTACATGTACTTACATGTGTGTCGTGCACTGACAGGTAGGCAGTGCGCAGTACAAGTACTTTTGTGTGTGTTGCGCACTGTCATATAGTCTGTGAGAAGTGATCTATATTTAATTTCTTGTTACGTGTCGCACGAAGACAAGCAGTCTTCAGTTAAACAGTAATATAATTATTTTAAATTAGATTGATTCCATTGTAATTGAGTTGAAATCTTGTAAAATTGATGAGGGGAGCTACTACCTACACATTACACAATTAAAACATTAAATTGAATATATTTTGATAGCAGAAGGAATTTAATGTAAAGGAGTTTTGTTTTATTTCATGAAATGTAGGATTCGTAAAATTTTCGACCGAACGTTTTTTAAACGGTTTTTGAATGGGAGTCCATAAACTCAAATGCGACGGCTGGACATGTGAAATGGTACAGAAGCAGCAATATTAAACTGGAACAGAAAGTTGATACATTACTCACCTTTGTGTAATCCCAAAACCGTGATGACCTGCTATTACAAGCGTTCCATACCACAACACTTTCCTTCTCTCTCACTAACAAACATATACCGTTCATATTCACCGAACCGTCAGAGTAATACCTGAAATACTACGGTATAAACAACGGTGAAATGTAATTATCGGGATGTTATTCTGAAAAGTTACATTTTTGCGATATTTGCGAGAATATAATTAATTGTCAAAAGTAATTGCTATGAAAATTAAAATTATAGAGAAAACTACAGCCTGTTGTGTTATTGCCTTGGAGATAAACATTATTTTTGCTTCAAACTTCGGGTAAACCGCGGAAACGGATCGACTGAAAAATCACAGTATGAATTTTAAAAACCATGCTGGTAGTTCTGCAAGTGTATCATTCTAAATTGACACGCGTGTTAACATAACAAGATAAATATGATTAAGAAGAGAATCCTAAAAAGACAAACGTGTTTTAACTGCCACAATTTTGTCCTTTGTAATAAACTTACCTGATTCCCACCAAGCCCGTGACAGTGTTGAGCCATGGGAAGTGTTGCAGCCACACCCATAGTGTCCAAACAACGGTCATATGCTACATTACGGACCTGGGTCATAAAGCGCGAAATAAATGTATAGTGAAACGTGGATGACGTCGTGATTTAGAAACAGTTATGATGTAAACTGCTAGAAAATGCAATCTAATGTTATTTCTTCCTGAAAAGTGACTTGCCTACATCGGATGTCATGAATGAAGCAGGAGACATTTACGAATCTGAAACTACTGGTCTTATGTCTCTTTAAATAGTATTTTTTGTAATCAATTTAATTGCATATAGAAAACAAATGGATCGGAAAAAATTATCACAACATACTAACCTCCTTTCTATAACAAATAGATATATGTTAAATCAGTTTACAACGTAAAAGTCTATTTATTTAAAATTTATCTATTTTTGTGAAGGCATTTCGAGTTTAAGATAAAATTACAATAAAATAGAAAAGAAAAGGATTAGGAACATACACGGATATTTTGAAGTATGTTAGCGACTTGGTATTGGAGACTACGTTTGTATAATTTTCCTAATCTTGTTGGCGTCCTTAATCACACCTAGTCCTTTAGAGAATTCTGGTCCTACATATTTTGCCGGCCAGACCAAGAAAGCCAGACACGTGTTCTTTATTAAATATTTACGACTGAGAAATGAATAAATATGCGAACTTCGAATTCGATAGATGAACGATAACACTGAGGGTCAAACACACTGACGTTGGAGTGAGAAAAAAGAGGTGGGAATAGAATGAGAGAGGATTGGAGGGAGAAGAAAGATAGCATAAACAAAGGTAATAGGTCAAAGGTCATCTGATCTGTCAGTAGTTACAAGGTAAATCGATTAGAACTGGACATAAACGATTGTACAAACTTAGTATCATGATGTAGTCTTGTAAGTAGTAAAAAGAATGGTCAAGGTGATATCCCGCGAGTGGGATGTATACAGATCACATTAAATAGCTACTGCGGTTTCCTAAGTGACAATTAAAAATGTCGACTTTTCTAGACCCTATCCAACAAAAAAATTAATTCATCTAAGGACAGTGTCTTGTGTTTGAAGAGGAGTTTCAGACCGTTTGATGGCTTTATTCCAGTAGGTGAGTTGTTCCAGGAGTCGGAACTACTTTCATGGTGACTTGTAGTCTATAGTGCTGGTTCTAAAAGGTATTCCTGTTTCTAAGATAACAGAGGCGCTTGAGACAGCAGGAGGAAGTAGAGATTTTTAATATGATTGCGCATTTTTCCCTTTTCTCGGCTCTTAGTCTTGATCAAGATTTTCTTAAAATATCGATTTCTTCATACTGTTTTTTTTTTTAATTATTTGAATGCTGTTTTAGTAAATATTTAAAATATGAACAAAGCGTGATCTAATTAGGGACTGTTTCTAGTTAAATGTTCTATAAGTTTCTACAGGCTTACTTCAGTATTCCTTACATACCTGACTTGTAAACAACTACAACTAAGTGAGATTTCATTAAAATAAAAATATGAAGACATTTTACTCACCTCGCCGGAATAGAGAACTGACTGAGGAAGTGCTACCTCTGGGTAGACATTTTTTATAAACCAAGAGAAAGGTCTACACTGTAATCTTTGTCTTAAAGCTTTCCGTTCCGACACGTCGCCAAAATTACCCTGAGAATCAAAATCATATCGTGTTTGGATTATTTTGTTTGGTATGATTGACCAATAACAGAAATGAGTATAGAAACTACAATGACTGAAAGTTGGAGGAAATTGATTTTCCGTCATTAGTCAATAATTCACTGAAAATTTTCTTTCCTGGCTACTAATTTTCGCGATTGCAACACCACGACAATATTGCGGCAATTAACTTTCGGGGTAAAATTTGTTATTTGAAATCATTGTGTATCATCCGTATGCTTCCAAATACATCAGCTTACCAATCTGAACTGCAGCTCCTCATAGTAATAGAATCGGTATTCGTCAAGCCACACCTCCGCCATTCGTAATGTATTCTTCTTCAGGATCACCTGGGGGTCTCTCCCCCAACTATACGGACTTTTAAACCGAAAGATGTGGGCCACATGCGAGCATGGATGTAATTCTATAGAGCCACCACACGTCCAGATCTAAATAACGGTAAGTCTATAGAATTATTATATAAATTATATCTGATATATAGCAAGCAGTAGACACTAGCATTTATATCCTTTGGATTTCTCTTCTCGTGATTTTTTTTTTTTTTTTTGTATAATTATTGTTTTCCACCTATACATATATACTGTAAAAACGATAACATTAAGAAGCACATTTCGATACTTATTTGATATAAGATGTGGAATATTCGGCTATGTTTTCATTGTAGGTCTCGTCAATGATATTAGTAGTCTAAATTTAAGAAATCTCAAGTCGAGTGTTGAGAACAGACTTACATGACCATGGATTCATACCAACCATTATCTTAAATCGTGTCTATTTATAATTTATTCGATTTAATCAGTTTTAATTAAATTCATACCTGAATTGATATTGGTATTACAATAAGCGTTGTTATTGTTGCTACACCTCGACTGGTTTTTCCTATAACTTATCAGTAAAATTATTTGGCTTTATACAGTACAGTATCATTTGCTAAATTCAATAATTTCTAAAAATCTTAATGTTAGCTGCCTTATCAGTTTGTATTTTAAAACTAGAAATAGCAGTTCAAACGGGGGGTGCACTAGCCCCACAATATCGTAAGTATTGTGTATGAATTAAAACGTGACATGTAGGTTAACTGTAAAGTTGAATTGAAACCTGACACACAATTAAGTACCAACTCACCCTGATAGACATTTCCACGTTTTCAGCGCCCCAAATTTCCATCCCAGCATCGTACAACCCTATGTGCTCAAAATAGTCTTTAGATATGGAGAATATACCACCAGCCATGGTTGGAGACCTGACGACACAATTTACAGAATTAATGGGAAAAGTAATGTTTATAAAACATACACAAATTATCCTTGTTCTTTAAAGATTCCGTATTTTATTATCACAAGGCTGTTGTAGATCTATTCATTTATGTCCACAAAAAATACTATGTATATTACTTGGTCATTTTATCAAAATATCTTAAAAGGCCAATCATCATAACATCTGACACATATTTTGAAAACTGCTATATTTAGTAAGTTACCTGTATGGTTCTGTGGGCGAGGTTCGGCGCTTCTTTTCACGCTCTGGTATTTTGTCCCAATGAAATGACAAATGATCAAGATGGAGGACCCCTACGTTTTGCGCCGGCATTTGGTCCACCCCGAACATATGGTGCCCAATGGAGTTTATAACAGGAGTTACGGCTCGGGTCGAATCTTCTGCAATTCTTGTCAACAAGGGTTCCAGCCAGCCTTTTATTGTGATTAAATCAACAATATTAAGTACATGATTGAATAATGGAAAGAAAACTTGCTTTGTGTTAAATTTGTTGTGAGGACGCACCAGTGTAATGATATCCACACGTGATACTGAAAGGTTAAGTTTATCTACAGCAAGTTCATCCATTAACACAACAATAACAGGGAAATATTTCATGACATAGGAGGTAAAATGAATGTTTATGTATACTGAAATTTTTCAGCGTCCCCTTATTTTAGCAAATGAACGGTAAGAAATAAAATTAAAAAAAAAAACAAAATATATCCAGATATATTTCAATATCTAAAAGATTAAAATTTTAAATATGCAGACACATGGGCAATCTCTAATATAAAGTGTATACGTCAGTGATATTCCAATGTAAATCTCTGGCAACACATCGGTTATTATCATGGCACCACATACGGTTATTATCATGGCACCACATACGGTTATTATCATGACAGCACATACGGTTATTATGATGATACCACATACTGTTATTATGATGATATCATATACGGTTATTAAGATATCAAATACGGTTATTATCATGGCAACACATACGGTTTATTATCATGACATCACATACGGTTATTATCATGGCACCACATACGGTTATTATCATGGCAATATATACGGTTATTATCATGGCAACACATACGGTTTATTATCATGACATCACATACGGTTATTATTATGGCATGACATACGGTTATTATCATGGTACCACAAACGGTATCATTTAAAAGAATAAATCGCAAATCACTCACCATGAAAACATTCACAATGGGAATCTAAAAAAGTAAGCACCTCTCCTGTCGCCACGGAATAGCCCAACAATCTGGCTCGAATCAATCCCTCTCTCTTCTTTGTTCTCACAATCTTTACGATCTTCAGCTGAGCAATGTAGTCCTCTAGCGGTTTCTTTAACTCTTCTGCAATTTTGAAGCAGATCTAATATTCACCAGCACCAACACTTTTCTAAATAATCAAATCAACCAAACTATAAGTTGTAATGACAGCATAAAACCAAGATCTGAAGGAATTGTCTTTCTAACCCAAGAAAATTTACAGTTCCATCATCTGGATAAAAAAATTACTTAAATTTAAACAATACAAGAAAAGAGTTTGTTCCTTTAGAAATATCTGCTGTTGTAACATTGCTGTAAAAACTTTAGAGAAAATCACAAACATCGAATTTGCAATAACAAACCTTCATGAAAATCTCCTTATGTAATGTATGCATTATATTTTAAAGGATTATAAGTTTACTTTTTATTTTACTTATGATAAAGCAGTACTGTCTCGTTTTTACCAGAAGAAGAGAAGTCGTCAACGAGGATAATTTCCTTGATCAGGTTAAGCGGGGATCTGTCCAGAACGCTCCATATTGTACGTAACATTACGGAAAAAGCCTCGTTGTGGAAGCAGATGATGATGCTTGTGGTTGGCAATGGTCTGTCGTAAACTACATCTTTACAACTGAAATTATGAGATGCATGTTTATTTAAGAATTCACTTATTTATGTTTGATTTAAATAAAAAAAAAAGGAATTGTGACAGTAACGCATACAATTGAATGAATAAAACACACAAGACTTTCAAACAATCTTCAATGAATTACTTCCATTGAGAAATTATTCCGCGCACCTACATACGGAAGTAACTACTTACCAATCAAAAGCTACATAACACACATCATAACTGCTGATATTATTGAATGATAACATTCCATTTTAGCCAATTGGAATGCTTGTCCCATTCAAGATTGAAGTATATTCCAATAACATTGTTAGTCACCAGTTGTCACTTCCATGGTCCTTAACATATCGATATCAGTGAAACACGGCTGTCAGGTAGATATATCGATTTTATTAATACAGAAGACGTATTAAGCGTTTATTTTGTCACAATAAAACAAATCCTATTTACAAACTGGTTGTATCATATAAATATCATAATTCATATTGAAACTTTTTATCATAAAACAATCAATCTATCAATAGATAGGTCATTTCACCTCAATCTACCTGGCATTTTCGTTACCAACTTTTGGCGTGTAAAACGTTGCAATGCAATAGGAACGAGTAATATATATAAACCAAGCAACCGCGGGGGTTCGAACCACCGACCCTTCGGTCACGAGTCGGACACTCCTACCGCTTAACAAGAAAGAAATTCCCACTAGTCTTTTCTAATAAGGTGACCAGTACTCTCAACTTCTACACTACCCTCCTCCTTCACAAAGTCTTCAACCTCGAAGACAACAACAGCCCAGGTTCAATACCTCCAAGGATCTCAATTCCCTATAGCCTCGACCCTTGGAATGATCAACGTTACCACATCTGTAATAGGAAAGGGTAATGAAAAACAACCTGCTACCGAGGGGTTACGAACTAGCGACCATTCGGACTCTAGCCGGACTCTCTACCGCTGGATGGGGAAATACTCTAACACTGAGGTTAGTAAGGGCACCTTTTCAGTTATGTTCAAAACTTTTGCAATAAATATTCTAGTTCCTGTGTTTTATATTCTGATTATTGTGTTTTATATTCTAAGCTGTGTGTTTTATATTCTGAGTATTGTGTTTTATATTCTAAATATTGTGTTTTATATTCTAAGGAGTGTTTTTTTTATATTCTAAGGAGTGTGTTTTATATTCTAAATATTGTGTTTTATATTCTAAGTATTGTGTTTTATATTCTAAGGAGTGTGTTTTATATTCTAAGTATTGTGTTTTATATTCTAAGGAGTGTGTTTTATATTCTAAGTATTGTGTTTTATATTCTAAGTATTGTGTTTTATATTCTAAGTAGTGTGTTTTATATTCTAAGAATTGTGTCTTATATTCTAAGGAGTGTGTTTTATATTCTAAGGAGTGTGTTTTATATTCTAAGGAGTGTGTTTTATATTCTAAGAATTGTGTTTTATATTCTAAGTATTGTGTTTTATATTCTAAGAATTGTGTTTTATATTCTAAGGAGTGTGTTTTATATTCTAAGTATTGTGTTTTATATTCTAAGAATTGTGTTTTATATTCTAAGTATTGTGTTTTATATTCTAAGAATTGTGTTTTATATTCTAAGGAGTGTGTTTTATATTCTAAGTATTGTGTTTTATATTCTAAGGAGTGTGTTTTATATTCTAAGTATTGTGTTTTATATTCTAAGTATTGTGTTTTATATTCTAAGTAGTGTGTTTTATATTCTAAGAATTGTGTTTTATATTCTAAGAATTGTGTTTTATATTCTAAGAATTGTGTTTTATATTCTAAGTATTGTGTTTTATATTCTAAGAATTGTGTTTTATATTCTAAGGAGTGTGTTTTATATTCTAAGTATTGTGTTTTATATTCTAAGGAGTGTGTTTTATATTCTAAGGAGTGTGTTTTATATTCTAAGGAGTGTGTTTTATATTCTAAGAATTGTGTTTTATATTCTAAGGAGTGTGTTTTATATTCTAAGGAGTGTGTTTTATATTCTAAGTAGTGTGTTTTATATTCTAAGTATTGTGTTTTATATTCTAAGTATTGTGTTTTATATTCTAAGTATTGTGTTTTATATTCTAAGTATTGCGTTTTATATTCTAAGAATTGTGTTTTATATTCTAAGGAGTGTGTTTTATATTCTAAGTAGTGTGTTTTATATTCTAAGTATTGTGTTTTATATTCTAAGAATTGTGTTTTATATTCTAAGGAGTGTGTTTTATATTCTAAGGAGTGTGTTTTATATTCTAAGTATTGTGTTTTATATTCTAAGGAGTGTGTTTTATATTCTAAGTATTGTGTTTTATGTTCTAAGGAATGTGTTTTATATTCTGAGTATTGTTTTTTATATTCTAAGTATTGTGTTTTATATTCTAAGTATTGTGTTTTATATTCTAAGTATTGTGTTTTATATTCCAAGGAGTGTGTTTTATATTCTAAGGAGTGTGTTTTATATTCTAAGGATTGTGTTTTATATTCTAAGTATTGTGTTTTATATTCTAAGGAGTGTGTTTTATATTCTAAGTATTGTGTTTTATATTCTAAGTATTGTGTTTTATATTCTAAGGAGTGTGTTTTATATTCTAAGAATTGTGTTTTATATTCTAAGTATTGTGTTTTATATTCTAAGTATTGTATTGTGTTTTATATTCTAAGTATTGTGTTTTATATTCTAAGGAGTGTGTTTTATATTTTAAGTATTGTGTTTTATATTCTAAGTATTGTGTTTTATATTCTAAGGAGTGTGTTTTATATTTTAAGTATTGTGTTTTATATTCTAAGTATTGTGTTTTATATTCTAAGGAGTGTGTTTTATATTTTAAGTATTGTGTTTTATATTCTAAGTATTGTGTTTTATATTCTAAGGAGTGTGTTTTATATTTTAAGTATTGTGTTTTATATTCTAAGTATTGTGTTTTATATTCTAAGGAGTGTGTTTTATATTTTAAGTATTGTGTTTTATATTCTAAGTATTGTGTTTTATATTCTAAGGAGTGTGTTTTATATTTTAAGTATTGTGTTTTATATTCTAAGTATTGTGTTTTATATTCTAAGGAGTGTGTTTTATATTTTAAGTATTGTGTTTTATATTCTAAGTATTGTGTTTTATGTCCGATAACATCAAATTACCCATGATGTAAGTTATATTGAATATTCATTACACGGTTCCGAATATACAACAAAAGATTGTACAAAACACAAGTTAAACACAAGACAATGAATATCAAACACAATAACGGGGGCTCTCTACAGGATCGGAGTTTTCTTCCGAATGTTTTACTAAGTGGGCAATGATAAGGCCACCCGATGTCTTCGGTCCCCTTTGAAACACTTTGGAATATGCCATTCTCCTTTTCATGATTACCATGTTTTTTACGCTTTATTTTTAACTATTGGCGTTGTTCCTGACACTCGTCCTTGTATAACACCGCCGTAAAACAAGCAAATAGCATGGAGTAAACAATGTGTCGTTTGTTTGTGACTGTAAGCCGTCTCATGGTTGTTCTACCACTGATTGTAAGTAAATCCGAGGTGAACATGAATAACATGCGATAGCGTAAACAGCATGTCATTCGGTACAGCCAAACCTTACCTTTGTAATCTTCCATCTGAAAGTCGTCGTCTCACCGAAATCTTGTCGCTGACATATTTACTGAACTGATGTTCTTCAAACATTTCTTCGTATTTCTCTTTCTCCCCTGGTGGTAATTTATTTTTATTAATTGCATAAGATTTTCCCATTTCACCTTTAAATAGAATGTTTAAAAAAATGTGTTACCGTTTACATAAATGCAAATATGGCTTATAGTATTCATGTACCTTAATATCAATACATAATTATTTCATTATGTTTAATTAGATTATCCTCCTCCCACACAAACACACACACACATCTGCCTCGGAATCTGTTTATATAATTATGTGAATGTGAAGTATGTGTAAAGAGAAGAAGCAAACATGATATCGATAATGGCGTACATGAATATTCGATGTACTGCAAAAATATAGTACTGATATGGGTCGTCTGCTTTGTGGATGCAAATCATATGAAATATATCAAAATGTAACATTTTTCAAAATAGGTAAGTTTTCATACCTGGGGCGTCCAAGGGTGCCCGTGGTTCTATAGCATCAAAATCTAGCCCAAGTGGATTCATAAACACATGATTATTGTTCGCAGATTTGTCATGATTGCCCTGTACGGCTCTATCGTCTTTTCCGGAATTTCCTGGCTTTCCTATGCCACTGTCCTTAATTACGACCTGTAACTTTTTTTGTTTATGTTGTTGCTCTTGTTCATTGTTTTGTTCCTGACCTGATTGTTTATCTATCGTTTTTTTAGTGACCTTTGTTTCTATTTTCTTCTTTTCTTGTTGAACATGATGTTTTTCCTGTATAGCATGTTTTTGTTTGTTTTTCTCTTCTGGGGCGACCTCAGGAGCTTCCGGTTTATCAGCCCCTATGGCTTTGTTTGCATCTTTACCTGACTCAATCAGATTATTGTCCAAGTCACTTCCGGTATCCTTACCAATATGAGCCTTATCACCATCTTGTGGGCTTTCTTTAACACTGTCTATTAGTTTCTGAATAAATGGAGATTTCTTTTCCGGAGATGGTTTTCTTTCATTATTTATACTGGGTTTCTTTGTATTGGTGTTCATATTTCTTTCTATCGTATTGGGATTTTTCATTTTCGCTCTGTTTGCTGTTAGGTTGTTGTTCATTACGGCAGATAGAGTATCATGTTTAAATCTTAGTTTATCACCGGGATATTTGCGAGAATCTTCATTTCTTAAAAATGGTCCTAAATGATGTATTTCATCAAGATGGTCATATTGTTTGTTATATTCTCGAAGTCTACGAGATTTCATTAGTTCCTCGTGATACATAACGATAACGATGGTAACCGAAAGCCACACTAAGGAGACAACAACAACTGTTCCCAGAACAGTCTTTTGATACGCCTTTCGCCCCATGTCACGTGATGTTAACGTTCCTTCCGTTTGATAGTCGTTTCTTTACAAAATCTCAAGACCTGTTTATTACTTCAAGACTTCGCGGAACTTGTCGTTTTGAAAGTTGTCATTGTTCCTAAAACAAAATACATAGACTTAAGATAATCAAATAAAACTTAAAACGCATCAGTTATTAATTTGATAATTTGTAGATTGCCAAATTCCAACGAATCATTTTCCCGACGGATTTACAATGGTGAAAAAAAACGAAGTGAACTTTAACAACGCCACAAAGTTGTTTCGTCCTTCTAACACACTTTAATGATGTTAAGTGACTTAAATATTTAAACCTTGAAGGAGATTGAGGAAGATCACATTTAATCGAGTTATATGCAAAGTGTTGATTAGTTTTGTCAGGATACTGGTATATGAAATACACTACAATGAGTTTATTCTGGGCAGTTGTCATATAAATAAAAATTATTATTATCCTTTACATTCTGTGCGAATAACAGCATATTGTGCTCACGGACTAGATATAATCAATGCCCTATTTAAGACGTGTGCAGTAATCATATGTCACCTCACGTGCATAACCCAATATCACAAAGAAATGACACAGCTAGCGGATTAGAAGCATCAATTTTATAAATCCTGGGCCATCTGTTGGACTTTATGTTTCCGTCGATACAGGTTAGTGATCTGACAAACATTGTAACATTCTACACGATACAGCGGGGGAATGTATACCTAGGGGACGGGTTGTGCGGGTTTGAGGTTAAAGCTTACGTGAATACGTTTGTGAGGGATGAACTCTAATAGAGCTTTCATTATCAATAATCAAAATAGTTATACTAAAAGTGCTTTGGGTCATTTTTGAAATGTTAAATTATTCATACATACATATTTCATTTGTGTATATATAGCATTCAAAACATTTATAGAACACAGTGGCTTGCGGCTATTATATAAAGTACACGTCCCACATGGAATATACGTTAATTTTGTACAAAGCTTGAAATATGATTTAAATAAATGATATAAATAATTAAACAAATAAAAAAGAAGAGTCCGATTAATTTCAGAAATTGAAACTGCAATGGTGTATGTAAAAGTGTATGATTCGGTAATGTTAATGCTATTTAAAAAAGAGAACAAAATCATCATTAACATGTACAAGTTAACCGAATTACCTTCAACAGTTTTTTTCAGATTATCCCGGCATGAGAATTCCCTTAAAGTTGTTTCTTTCGTCTTCCTTTGAAATCACGGCCGAAATCCATAAACCGGAAGTGACACGTGCATACATAGAGTTCCGCCATGTTCAATATGACGTAGTTTGTTGGATAAATTGTGATCAATATGCAGGCAACAGATTGCGTTAAGGAATCAATGACAGCACTCACTTGACTTAAATATAGGTTCTATTTTAACATCAGCGCGAATTTGGTATTTCATTCATAATATTATATATGTATATTTTTAACGTCTTTGTAAATATATGCTAAATTTAGGCACCAATGTGTAATTTATGCTAGCTTTAAGTTGCGTAATTACGTTTATGCTTTAAACTCAATCGTTTTCCTTTCTTTGAAACAAAGCAATTCTGTTCATGTACCACGGATTAACAAAAAATGCAGGGAATATTACAAATATTTCATGAAAAGGTATCCTAGTATAGACCTAATTTTCCATCTATTCAACGAGCCCATTCCACTGAAAATGTCGTGTAATTACTATTTAAACACAAGTGATAATGATATCACACTAAAGTGTTCTTTCGAGATAATGGATGTCCCCAGGGGCCGGGACACATACAAACACTTGCATGCAATTTCAATGATAGTTTGCCGGAAGGTTTCAAATTTCTAGTTTAATGGAGCGAGAAATTGTAGAACCATTCTTACATTGTCGATATTTTAAAGTTACCTATATGTTCCATTATTACCTGTTTTTGATGAACTAAAACTTTTAAATCAGTATCTTTCTGAGTGACAATTAGCTATATCTCTGATGTTGTTTCTATTATTGTATAAATCGAATCTGTAATGTATCGTATGACTACTCTGCTATTACTTTAATAACACCTATAACATGAATTCTGTTGCTGTCACTCGTGTACTAACACCTAACACAACTTAGATTTACAATCTGTATCAGAACTAAATGAAAGGTTGCTTTACAAATCCATTAGAGACACCTTCAGTGACGTCTATAACACTGTTACTATAGAGACACCTTCAGTGACGTCTATAACACTGTTACTATAGAGACACCTTCAGTGACGTCTATAACACTGTTACTATAGAGACACCTTCCGTGACGTCTATAACACTGTTACTATAGAGACATCTTCAGTGACGTCTATAAAACTGTTACTATAGAGACACCTTCCGTGACGTCTATAACACTGTTACTATAGAGACACCTTCAGTGACGTCCATAACACTGTTACTATTGAGACACCTTCAGTGACGTCTATATCACTGTTACTATATAGACACCTTCCGTGACGTCTATAACACTGTTACTATAGAGACACCTTCCGTGACGTCTATAAAACTGTTACTATAGAGACACCTTCCGTGACGTCTATAACACTGTTACTATAGAGACACCTTCCGTGACGTCTATAACACTGTTACTATAGAGACATCTTCAGTGACGTCTATAAAACTGTTTCTATAGAGACACCTTCCGTGACGTCTATAACACTGTTACTATAGAGACACCTTCAGTGACGTCTATAACACTGTTACTATTGAGACACCTTCAGTGACCTCTATATCACTGTTACTATAGAGACACCTTCAGATTCGTCTATAACACTGTTACTATAGAGACACCTTCAGTGACGTCTATAACACTGTTACTATAGAGAGACCTTCTGTGACGTCTATAACACTGTTACTATAGAGACACCTTCAGTGACGTCTATAACACTGTTACTATAGAGACACCTTCAGTGACGTCTATAAAACTGTTACTATAGAGACACCTTCAGTGACGTCTATAACACTGTTACTATAGAGACACCTTCAGTGACGTCTATAAAACTGTTACTATAGAGACACCTTCAGTAACGTCTATAACACTGTTACTATACGTGCAATCCCCATCAACAGTATACATGAGCGGGAGTTTCGAACAATTAGCTGTTGTTTGACTTTTAAACATACTTTGGGTACCAATGTAAACATGCTAGTGCTGGTAATTTGAGAATCGGGAGTAGTACAGATCAATAGAAAATACTTTTTCCTTGCAAACAGTTTTATCAGATGTACATTTGGCAAAACTTCTGATTTAATATGACTTTTATAGTTGACAAATAGTGTATCACAGGCCGCGATCGCCGCCATATTTTATTGTAAACTTTTTTTCACCTTCTGAATACAAATATTGCATTACTTCTATGCAAGTGTCAAGGCTAAGTATGTAACTTCATTCAATGGTCAATTACATTTCTATTTAACTTAAATATCATGATATTAGATACGTACTAGCAGGTTATAAGTGTAATTTTAAAGACATTTTCAGTCTGCTCAGTTGTGCTGTTTTCACCATACAATTGTTGAGGATGATGGTTCAATTGGTTTTGTTTTTAAATACGTCCCAGAAACGAACGTTCACTTGTATTCATAGAACAAATTTGAATCAAATACTGATTGTGAAGTAAAGAATAGCATTTTCTATACATTTCTATTTTGGGCACTATTTTGACGGCGGGACACTATTTACGAAAGTAATGAGACTGACTCACTGAGTGAGCCGCCAGCCATATTTCCTCCGATGGAAATTTGGTGGCGCTGGGTGTACAAATAGGGGAGCAGATTCCGCAGTTTCCAAGATACAAGAAACAAAAATAAAACCGAACTTAAAAGTAACAAAAATCTAAGGTTATTAAGAACCGATAAAACTAAAACGTCAACACACAGGTTTAGCCTTATACATAAAAAAATGTCATGAAAGCGGTTAACTTAATTCATCATCCAAAAATACCAGCATATGGTCATCTCAATGTCCATAACACCTTATTAGGAAGTAAAGATAACGATACATGAGGCCATCTTTTAGAAAAATGGTTTTCAGAAAACAATTCAGTCGTATTTAATTACCCAAATTTCGAAACTAAAACAGATATCAATAGCGGTGCAACAACTCATTTAGATCTAACAGTTACCTCCCCTGAAATATCTAATCTGTTGGCATTATAGACCACTAGTAACAGCACTCTAGGCTCTGCTCAATATCTCATTATTGCCATATTTAAGTTTAAACCAAACAAAACTGAGAACCCCCCAAAATGGATTTCTACTAAAGCTGACTGGAATAAATTCCAATATTAATGTTCAGAAATATATATAGAAGCATATTGAAATATAACGGTAGACACATATACACCAGAAAACAAATCAAATAGTTACCATGGCAACACAACGCATTCCAAAAACTTCAGACAAACCAACAGACAGGAAACCCATGGTGAAAAGAAGAATGTGCCATCAATGAAAAAATAAAATGTAAGTGAGACTATATCAGTAAAAAGAATCATACAGAATTAGATATTCGGAATTATAAAATCGCAAAAACCTGATCTAATATAATCTGCCAGAAGAAAATAGAGAAACATTGGCTAGAATTCTGTAAATATTTAGACAACAAAACCAACACAAACACTGTTTGGAATAAGATATATATCAATGTATATCATATAAAGAAATGTCAATATTGTAAATGCAGAGAGTAAAACTAATCTTGGCCAAGCAATTTCAAAAAGCAAGCAGTACAGATAACTGTTCTAAAGAATTTTAGAAAATAAAACAACAAAACAGCATGAATTAACAATTAACTCAAAGACAAAGGTAAAGAAAGCACGGACCTTATCTTCCCATTTACATAAGGTGAATACTTACAGGACCTTAAATCCAAGAAAACTATTTCACTTGTTGATAATCTGTTCTACATAATACCCAAAATCTGTACACGAAAAAAAAAAAAAAAAACAAACCAATCATATATCTGATCGATAAAATCAGGACTTCCGGTGTATACTCTAAGACATGGAATAATGCTAGTGTTTCAAATTCTAAAATCCTGTAACGACAATGAAAATTCGCCATCAAACAGACCTATTTCCTTAACACCACATTTATGTAAAACCATAGAAACCATGATAAACAACAGATTAAAACATTATAAACTAAAAAAACGCACAATTAAATCATGCAATCAATAGACTATGATATTTTGGGAAATTTGTTCAAAATGTTATATCAATGTGAAGGGACAAGTCTACTCTATACAGAACTGTAGAAGAAAAGTCTGTAACGTCACTCGAATTTTCAGTAGTTACTCAAAGTGGGATACCCGCGGAAACAAAATGACACTTCAGTACCTGGTGTGGGCACCTCTTGCATGAATCCTTGCTTGGATTCTCATATGCATTGAATTCATGAGAACATTAATTCGCATTAAGGGAATGTGTTAATGCTGCTATCAACTGGGCGTGGTTAGTTTGGGGATTTTGACGTTTCTTAATACGCCTGTCCAGCTCATCCTCATTCCTGAGGCTGAACATTGTTTGCCGTGAGAAAATCACGACAGACTCTGGCAACATGCGGTCGAGCATTGTCTTGCTGGAAACCGAGGTTATGACGTCTGAGAAGTGGAAGGAAGGACATTTGGTTGGAGGATGTGGTCTCTGTATCGAACGGCATTACGGTTTCGATCCAGGACCATTAAGGGGGATTTTATTCCATAGAAGATGCCTCTCCAAATCATTACAGAAGCTTCACCTAATTTACCGCTTTCAACCACGCATGCGTCGCCGAAACGCTCACCGCGTGTGCGATATACCCTTTTTCTTCCGTCTGAGCGATACAAACAGAATCTAGACCCATCGGTGAACATCACACGCCTCCACCGACGCATCCCATACGTATTCGGGTCATGTGTGCGCATCTACTCAAGACTCACTTGCCGCCTTTGTGGTGTCAGAGGTGGCCCGACATAAGGTCGGCTCGCAATGATTCTCGCGGAACTCCAGCAGTCCTGGCAGTTTGGGCACTAATGGGTCTAACCAAGTGTACTTAAGGTATGCGACAATCTCTACAGCAGTCTTGAATCTGTTGCCTATGTGCAACAATCTAATCGCCCTGTCTTGTCGCTCGGTCGTTACACGCGGCCGACCTCACTTGTGGCGATCGTAAACTAACCCAGTAGCGTGGAAACGTGTACAGTGATAGTTGATTGTTCACGGGGCAACGCCAAACTGTCGTTCGACAGCAGCTATGACATCTATCAACATCGCAATTACACTACCCCTCTGAACTTGCGTAAAGCGTGTCATCTCGGTCAATGGCGAAATCAAAACGCCAATGTGGAAAATTAACGTCACTGAACTTGAAGGATCCGTTAAAATTATTCGTTTGAAAAAATCCGACTTGGCTTTATCACGCCGTGTGATTTGTATTAATGAAACTCACAAAGTTAGACAATAACATCGTCATGCTTGGCTGATTTTAGGGTAGATTGTCAAGAAGGGAGATCATTCTTGATTTTATACCTGCCAACATATTCCATTATGTCCTTACAGCTAAGGTGTACTGCAGGGGGAACTACGTGCGTTTCTTTTTCAGTATATTAGTTCCACAACAATCTCATTAGAGAAAATCAAATCGGTTTCAGTAATCATAGGTCAACTTTAAACACATAAACAAGTCCGAATAACACCAGAGATTAAAAACGAAGTAAAATCTTCGATACTTCCTCGACTTAGACAAAGCTTACGACCTAATGTGGCACGAAGGTCTATTACTATCACTAATACAAGTGGGAATAACCGCAAACATGTTAAGATTCATCATCCATTTCCTAAAAGATCGTAAAATTCAAGTAAGAGAGTTGTCGGATGAACTTACACTAGACAATGGCGTCCCCCAAGGAAGAGTTATGTCACCAACACTTTTCAATATATATATATCATTAAATTAGACATCTTTTTAAAAGGCAAAACGAAAAAGATGAAATTAGCTAACATATGTCTGTTCAAGGATGATACCAACATTTGGAATAACAAAAACAAGATATAACAATGGCAATGTCATTGAAAACACCTTAGACGCCATTCAGAAATTAGCTGATCATTGGAGGTTTAAAATATCAAAAGATAACCTTGGGCTGATTAAAAATCACCGTGTCAATTAGCATTTAGGTGAATTCGGCGAATTACCATTAAAATTAAGTAAGGAGGGCCAGAATACAAACACTTGCACCCGATTTCCCGCAAAGTATTATCGTTGCAGAAGTTAAAGACACCAATTACAGAGACTAACTAAAACACACTAAACCCTGATATAACTATGTAACAAACCAACTTCTCGTCGAACACAATTTAGACCAAGTTACTATTATTATAGAGAAATTACTATTAAAGAATTAACGCCAGGTCGTAATGAATTCGAAGATGTTGTCAGACTAAGACTAGGGACAACTATACTAAATGTCTGTATAATGGCTAAAAATATGTCACCAGAAGAGACAATAGATCAGATTCAACCTATCAACAAAATTTTTATTTCCGAATTCGAAAGAATAAAAAACCAATGCAAATCCATCATTCGGGTTGAAAATGAAATACTATTGCATAAACTGCTCAACCAATTCCTAAGAAAAGATCGACTGTTTAGATAAAAAAATAAATAGTAAACAGAAAGGGCGAAGAGAGACAACCCTTGAACACCAGAAACTTACACAACCGATTCACAATAAGTAGGATCCCCATGATACCAAGGGAGATTGTGACAAAGCGGATTAATACCGATATTCTCATTAATTGGTGTGTACTGACACCTCATGAGGACTGCGGATTCCTACCCTACACCACAGCACCCGCATACACATTTCTAAATTAGTTCACATATACAGTGGAAGCGGTTGTGTCCCCGATCGAGGTCCAGTCGGAATGTTCGCTGCCGAACTGAGCACAGACACGCACGCGCCTTTACATAACTATCATACAAATGACACCAAAATTCAATAATAACAAAATTTATAAAAACCTAAAAAGTGAATAAACCTCGTTATGTAAATATCTAAATCAATAAATATACAGGGTGTTTCTAACAACCAAACTATCGCTGTGTGGTTTATTATCACAACGTCTAGCTAAGTCAATAGAAAAATACATCCGACAGTATCCACTGCTAGGTTCGGTATAGATCAAATCAAGGTGAGTTCTCTTAGGCCAACGGAAATAAACTGATCAATCGATTTTAAGTTCTTGGCCAGTGGTATATGGACTCGCTAAACGTAGGCATGGTAAACAGAGATAAATAAAACCTAGAAAATCAGAGATCATTACATAACACAGGAAAGTGAGACACAAATAGACATCAATCAAAAATCACCTGTCCATAACGAACAAACATGATACTGACATAGGCCCACTATACAATATACAAGACCCCACCCCTCTCCCACCCCTCTCCCACCCCATCTCTCACCCACCCCTCTCTCACACCATCTCTCACCCTCCCCTCTCCCACACCATCTCTCACCCTCCCCTCTCCCACCCCAACCCTCTCCCATCCCATCTCTCAACCTCCCCTCTCCCACCCCACCCCTCACCCACCTCAACTCCCACCCCATCTCTCATCCCAACTCTCACCCTCCCCTCTCCCACAGAACATCTTACCCACCCCTCTCCCACCTCATCTCTCACCCACCCCTCTCCCACCACATCTCTCACCCATCCATCTCCCTACCCATCTCTCACCCTCTCCTCTCCCACCCCACCCCTCTCCCACCTCAACTCCCATCCCATCTATCACCCATCCCTCTCCCATCCCATCTCTTACCCACCCCTCTCCCTACCCATCTCTCACCCTCTCCTCTCCCACCCCACCCCTCTCCCACCCCATCTCTCACCCGCCCCTCTCCCACCCCATCTCTAACCCATCCCTCTCCCACCCCATCTCTCACCCTAACTCTAACCAACCCCTCTCCCACCCCATCTCTCACCCCAACTCTCAACTACCCCTCTCCCAACCCCTCTCTCACCCATCCCTCTCCCACCCCATCTCTCACCCTCCCCTCTTCCACCATCTCTCATCTCTCACCCATCCCTCTCCCACCCCATCTCTCACCCACCCCAACTCTCACCCATCCCTCCCCCACCCCATCTCTCACAATCCCCTCTACCAACCCATCTCTCACCCATCCCTATCCCAACCCATCTCTCACCCTCTCCTCTCCCACCCCATCTTTCATCCACCCCTCTCCCATCCCTCCCCCACCCCATCTCTCACCAACCCCTCTCCCAACCCATCTCTCACCCACCCCTCTCCCACCACATCTCTCACCCATCTCTCACCCTCTCCTCTCCCACCCCACCCCTCTCCCACCTCAACTCCCACCCCATCTATCACCCATCCCTCTCCCACCCCATCTCTCACCCTCCCCTCTTCCACCCCATCTCTCATCCATCCCTCTCCCACCCCATCTCTCACCCCATCTCTCACCCACCCCAACTCTCACCCCATCTCTCACCCATCCCTCCCCCACCCCATCTCTCACAAACCCCTCTCCCAACCCATCTCTCACCCATCCCTATCCCAACCCATCTATCACCCCAACTCTCAACTACCCCTCTCCCAACCCCTCTCTCACCCATCCCTCTCCCACCCCATCTCTCACCCTCCCCTCTTCCACCCCATCTCTCATCCATCCCTCTCCCACCCCATCTCTCACCCACCCCAACTCTCACCCCATCTCTCACCCATCCCTCCCCCACCCCATCTCTCACAAACCCCTCTACCAACCCATCTCTCACCCATCCCTATCCCAACCCATCTCTCACCCTCTCCTCTCCCACCCCATCTTTCATCCACCCCTCTCCCATCCCTCCCCCACCCCATCTCTCACCAACCCCTCTCCCAACCCATCTCTCACCCACCCCTCTCCCACCACATCTCTCACCCATCTCTCACCCTCTCCTCTCCCACCCACCCCACCCCTCTCCCACCTCAACTCCCACCCCATCTATCACCCATCCCTCTCCCACCCCATCTCTCACCCTCCCCTCTTCCACCCCATCTCTCATCCATCCCTCTCCCACCCCATCTCTCACCCACCCCAACTCTCACCCCATCTCTCACCCATCCCTCCCCCACCCCATCTCTCACAAACCCCTCTCCCAACCCATCTCTTATCCATCCCTATCCCAACCCATCTATCACCCTCTCCTCTCCCACCCCATCTTTCATCCACCTCTCTCCTATCCCTCCCCCACCCCATCTCTCATCAACCCCTCTCCCAACCCATCTCTCACCCATCCCTCTCCCAACCCATCTCTCACCCACCATAACATAATCCAGCTATCCTACTTGTATAGTGAATCTCACCTTTGGAAATAGCCTTTCAAACTTGAATCTATGCTAGATAATCTCATCCTACCATAGCATTTTCTTCTTACCTCACGTAACCCTTCTAAATCAACATATTCACACAAACCACTAATTATAACAAGTCAGAATAGTGAACAGATGTATGCAGCCGGAATGGAGTGGATTATCAGAAAGCAAGAGACATTTGTAAAGTGATCAAGTTACTTAGTCGGTATGATTGGAAAGGTTTCAAGAAGGGACAACACCAACAACAAATAACACAAGTGTTAGTTATGATTTTACTTGCGCCGATCTAACCATTGACCAATAACCATAGTCCGGCGGATGGGACATTAAACAGTGGCCCATGTGAGGACTCTTCTAAAGATCTCTCTGTGACCTTTCGTTATAACGCCAGTCCATGGGTGTAGGGATAGTGTTAGTCTATACAATTAGCTTTCAGGCATTTGACGGGCTTCAAAATTACCTAAACCAAATCAAAATTTATGTAGGCCCCCAATTCTCCCTTTCCACTTCTGGACATGTTCCAGACTGCTTGATAACAGTCTACCAATCAGATAAATAGAATAACAGACATACCCTGGTATACTCTTATTATGATGATAGAGAGGGTGAAGTCTTGCAGTCTTCCTTGTTCCTGCGCTGATCTATACCTCGTCTCCCTTGTGTTCAACCATCACCTGTTTGTAGCTGACATGGTGTGTATCCTCAGACTTCTGCCAATGACATCTTCCTCCCTTCCTTGCCACTCTACCTCCACTACTTTCACCTTTCTTGCCTTCTGTTCCCATAATGTCCTTGCCGGAGCCTGCTCTCTGCCTCTGGCTGTGCTGTTTGTCGACCTTCTGCTCCATTGCTGCTTGCCTTTCTTGTCCCTAGAGTCTTTCAATATCATTTTATTTCCGGTTTTAAATTCTTCCACCACTGACGTTAGCAGTTTGACTGTTGTACTGTTCAGTTCAGATTCCAAAAACTATTAACGCAAGTACATATTTATTTGCAAATGATACAAAAATTTACAGTCATACCGATAACTTGAATATCCAAAAAGATTTAGATATGCTTCAACAACGGTCTGATACATGGCTCTTGAAATTTCACCCGGACAAATGCAAAGTTATGCACATAGGAAAGATAACCGATAATACACCGTTACACTGATATGGAGACGAGGAAAATGGAAGAGTCGAGGTTACATTAGATCAGGTAACAAAAGAAAAGGACCTTGGAATTATAACAGACAACAACCTAAATTTCAACCAACATATTCATGATGCAGTCAATAAAGCCAATAGAATAATGGGAACCATCCGAAGAACATACACGTACTTAGACGAAAAGTCGTTCTGTCTTTTATATAAAGCGCTTGTACGTCCGCACCTGGAATATGGGGCCTGTGTATGGAATCCCTATCTGCAAAAAGATATAAATGAGTTGGAAAATGTATAAAGGAGAGCAACGAAACAAATACCGGGAATGAAAGACCTAAGCTATGAGAGCAGGCTAAGGATGCTTAAATTACCGACACAGAGGCACAGAAGATTGAGAGGAGATATGCTACAAGTATACAAGCTAACACATGGAGGATATGATAGGGCTGTCGCTGAGGATTTCCCCGATTCAAAACAATAACAAGATAACAAAAGGGCACAGTCTTCAACTATTAAACAGAAGGAGCAGACTTAATCTGAGGAAGTATTCTTTCTGTGAACGGGTAGTTAACCACTGGAATTTACTTCCAAATGCCGATGTAACGTCACCAACAATCCAAACTTTCGAATCCCGATTGGATAAACATTGGGGGCAAACTGAACGTGTTTATAATCATGAACTAGACAGTAACACACTGATCCATATCCGGGATACTAATTCTTTTTAATTCTGATCTGGATATATAGGCTTAATAAGCGTGTGTCCAGTATATATTATTATTATTGTTATATAGACAAAATAAAAACAGTAGCCAGTAACAAGACACATTTTTTCTTTATTTTTGTTTTATCAAATACATTCATTAATTAGTCAACATGTCCAAACAATACCAGTCATTCACATACATAAAATATCTCGCATGTTTCTGTAACTTACTTCCATTTCACACATACACCATATTCAAATGCTTTCCACCAAAGAGCCAATTTTCATCATTAACTTCATATTATCTGTACAATTTTAAATTGTTAATTAAATGGATTATAAGATCAAATCTATCCCCTAAAGCACCGTCTTTGAAACAAGACAGCATAATGAATGGTTCTGTGTCAGTCTTTGCCACACTGGACAGTGGTGAAAGAGGGTTTCTCTAATTTTGCAAGGTTTCATCTAAAACCACATACATTTACAGATTGGAAAAATAGTGATCAATTTTACAAATTCAGCGTTCCTTGGTGACCATAGACAATCCATGAAAATGAATGAGACTTCAGACAGAAGAATTATACTTGTGATTATATGGCATCAATGAAAATGTGTTTACCTCTTTGAAATGATGTCATATGTTAACACCCCAGTGGAATGGGCTCATGATCATTTGATACCATTCAAAGTCTAGCTTCTGTAAGAAAATGACTACTGACTGTTCTAAAGCAAATAATATCAAAATCAACATTAACATGACTTGAGTCAGCTGGTTCTGTACAAAAGCAAGAATAAAGTACTTTTTCTCATTCTGTCTGATAAGACTTTCGGTACATAATTATATACACCATCTTCATCTTCCAATAATCCCAGGGGCATTTGTTGGGAGTTAGGGAGTTACCTCTGACACAAATTCTGGAGGCTTGCACTTAATACAAAACAATGACATTATAATATTTGGTGACAGTCCTCCTGAAACCAAAATAAATATTGGTGGGCTTATCACCAGACATGGGCTTATTGGTGTATAGATATAGTTATCCCCAAGATCAGGAGAGACAAATGAAACAGACACCTAAATTGTTTTCCTCTTTAAAGTGGAAAAAGTCAAACTTCACAGATTATAATTTGAATTTAATTTGTCCTGAATTTCTTAAATAGTGGGTGGAGATTCTGTCCCTTTCTGCTTCTGTACTCCATGTACACAGCATCATCCGCCCCAGACATAGAACTCATACTGCCAGCCTTTCTTGCCATCTGCAAAATCATCAAAGATTTTTTTAAAACTCTGACTTCTACTAGTGGTACATTGTCTTTTCAAATAATATGTTCAGTTCAACTGAAAGATTTATTCAACATCAGTAAACAAAGTTATCAATACAGATGTCAACTACTAAATGATGAACATATAACTCCTGACCTTTCATTTCTTAAGTGGCCAAGTGTGACCTTTGACCCTTTCATCTTGATCTATGACCTTAAAACTGTAGACTTTGATACAGCCCCACACGTTTACTTTGTTGTTGATAAACCTCCACACCTTTACTGTGTTATTATCATGATTATGTTATATATCCTAATCAAATTTTATCTTTTACTATATTACATAATGCTAAAACTTTGACAGAATACTGATACTGTTGAAGTCAGAAAGTGATGTATTTACTCATATGTTCTGTACAACCATCAATTTTCATAGGGGATTTACTTCTATTTAATCTGTAGGTAGTCTAAATCCATGAATTTATATGTCAACAACTTGATAAACAGATAAAGGTTGACATTGATTATAGTATTATTCAAATATGTCAACAATATCATTCATGGAATCCAAAATTTATGTAAATTTTTGGAAAAACCATAAAATTTGAGCTCTATGAAAATAATTGGTTTTACAGTATTGTCAATAAGTACCAGGCCCCACTTGTATAAAACATCTCAACTTAAGAGTTCCTCAAGTCGAGATTTTCCTCAGCTGGTATCTCCTCGAAAACAGCTTGTATAAAATTTTCTCAAGGAACAGGAGGAAGGCATCGGCTAGGATTTCCTGAAATTCCTTGCGGAATTTTCATACAAGATATTTTCAAGGAGATATTAGCTGAGGAAAATCTGGGCTTGAGGAAATCTGAAATTGAGATATTTTATACAAGTGGGGCCAGGTATAATTTACTAATTAAACATGTATAAAATAACAATGGACAACTTTATCCGATTCTATGATTGGAATATGTATCAACATCAAACAAAGCTGTACCTGAGGTCTAGCTCCATCTCCACCTCCCTGCTCTTCCTCCGCGTCCTGTTCTGTAGCTGCCAGCACTTTCTGTAACAGCTGCATCTGTTCATCTTTGGTCCGATAGGCCAGGTTCTCCTAGAGATGAAAAAAGGGGGAAAATAAACTGCATTTCCCCTTTTATGTACATGTATACAGAAATGATATATCTAAGTCTATTACTGCTTGTACACAATGGAGGATGGATGTAAAATGGTTGCAAATGCTGATCAACGATACTGTATTGTGACTTCTTTTAAAAGGGATCAAGATAAAACAAAGGTGGAGCTGTTTCTACATCTTGAATTCCAAGTATTATAGAATCAAAACCAAGATCAAGCTACAGCAAGTTGTAGGGCTCCAAGTGTTGGAAGGGGGTTCAGAAAAACACAAAGAGAATTAATTGTTCCTTTTCTATAAAATAGACCTTTGATACCGCCTCTTAATTGCTAAACCATACCACCATGGGAGACTTCTACAAGGACACTGGTTACAAAATCTTGTCTAGAAAATATCTATAAGACTAAAATATCCTTGAAACATCTTAAAAATCTTGGAAGATCACAATGCTCAAGCTCAAAATATGCCTGGGTACCAACATAATGTGACTAAGCTCAAGATTGCAACAAGGAAAGGCATATCTGTCTAGTTGTATGTGAATTAGAAATTGTTTTATTCTAGTTTTGTTCTCATGGAATATGAAAAGCTTTTTCAAGAATTTGGATTTTAAACAAAAAGACTTATATCTATTTTTATTTTCTGGGTTAGTCAACATGTGAACAACTTGCCCAAGGACATAACTAGGACTTAACAGGTTGACCTGTCATCTCCATTAACTGAGAAAACAAGACTGTCCATGAAAGGGTCATTAGCCCTCGTGTCAAAACTTAACTGAAGGTTGTTCTGATACTGTCTTCTGGGCTATTGTATCCCATTTATATCAAGACAATTAATGAATACAGAAAATTTGTCACTCAAACTACCTAGTTTCTACTCTTACTGGATTGACATCTTTTGAACTGTTTGTACATTTACCTCATCCATGCCAGCGAACCTTGTGATAACTTTGTAACTGTATCCCTGGTTGACAAGAAACCTTTGACGCTTTAACGAGTAATGCACCTCCATGGTGTCCTGTGTGACCAGGGAGTAAAAGAAGGCATTGTACTCCTCCGCGACAGCACCTACAAACAACACAAATGTACCTGGCTATGTCTCACTGGCTTGTAGAAGATCATTCACAGAAGATCATTGTTAATTTATATTCATCCTACAGTAAGCCCTGTAGGTCATAGCATTACCTCAGAATCAAAGTAGGGGTGGGCTTATTACAGGACAATGATACAATATTTGCTCATATTTCTACTAAAAATACAAAAAGAAAAGAGAGCAAAATTCTTACCAGACACTAACCTGTTTCTGAATTTGTATTATTAAAAAGATGTGATCAACACGGTAGTTTGCTAACATTATCAGCCTAGAAGCTATTTCCATGCAATTGTTTTCACCAAATGTTACTAAATGATACAGTTAATAACCATTTAGTAATCATTGTACAACATATGTACAAGTCTTGAGTATTGTATCAATTTGTTTGTTTACCTGTATCATGATATTCTAAAAGTACTTATGTATTCAATCAATTTTTATTAAACTCTGGACAAAAATGAACTGCGGATTCTTTATTCATTCAGCGACGATGTGGTCAAATTTACAATCATACCCAGAATGTATTAGAAATTACACAAAAAGATATTTCGATAGCATTAATAATGCTGAAATGTTTGAGCACAAACATGTGTCATGGTACATATTGAATGGTAAGCATAACACACAATATGTATCATGTTGTGAGTTAACTTTTTTCTGTCCTGAACTTTCTTTTTCTTACCTTTTTTTGCCCTAAGAATTCTGCCCAATCTTTGGGCCTCCTGCCGTCGACTACCACCATGAGCTGAGATTTGAATTAAAACATTTGCCTCTGGCAAATCAAATGACGTGTCTGCAACCTGTAAATTACGAAAACATTACCAGTCAGAAGTTGGAAATAAGAAAGTGTTATTCTAGTAAAACATCTAGCGGACCCCAGGACTCTAAACAAATCCCTTCTATCCATGGTGTGGTTTCCTGCCTATTACCTCTATGCAAATTATCATTTAATCTTTCAGGTGGTACCACTAACAAAACAAGTCCTGGCCGGTAGGGATAGAGGGTGGCCGGTAGGGATAGAGGTTTTAATCCCAAATGTAACCTACACCTTTCTTCCTGCTTCTTAAAATAACTGAAATCATTCTGTAGATTGCACTTAACTAGTGATTGAAGTGTAATAGATATTTAATATGCAGTATGCCTTCTTAGTGCTTACATCCTTTTTCAACAGTTGTAAATCAAATCAAATGTTTTGAATCTTCACAGTCTTTCTAAGATAATGGAAAATACATTATTATATGATAAATATGTCATTTGTAGGCACTGGTCATTCGTGGATGATGAATATCTCCTGTTATAGAATTATCCTCTGATAACATGAATGCCTCATATACCTTGAACTATTAACATGGCTTGCTGACATTCAAGTACGCAGGTTTATACAGTTTAAATGACAGGGTAATCATGATAATAGATTACACAACTTTAATAGGCATCAAAATCTCATAACAAAATACCTTTACTTGTGCAATATCAAAATCAATGTCTTCAAGCTTACTTACATGCTTGGTGGGTTTTCTGTCACTACCTTTGTTCCCATTTCGGGAACATGACCTGCTTCCCATATCAGATCACCAGGTTTTTTTTTTCTTCTTAGGACCTCTATTTTTATTTTTCATCTGTTCAAATACTGTCTTCATTTCATAATTTTGGAGATGGATTTTTTTATCACAAACCAGTTTTTCAATTTTCAAGTATGCTTGCTATTTTGCAAGGAGATAAACTAATTTGGATTGATCTCAGATTTTATCCAACAGGACTTATTTTGAAACATAATTATCCTTACTTTTGAAACGAAGATTGTGTTGACCTTGGGATTGTGTTGAAAATTCTGTAGAATCTGCATGCGTTCCCCTTGTGATGTTGGACCATACAGGTAAGGCCTGCCAAGGACAAATCAAAAACAGTTTTGATAAAAGTAAACAATAATGAAATAGGCATTTCTTGCAGATGACATTTTTGGAGCTTTAAATGTTAAGTAAGTATACAAAAGTTTTCAATATTACACATGGACACAACTAGGGACCAAGGGGAACCTACTTATGAAATTTGAGAGGGATTCATGTAGTGCTTCTTAAGAAGTAACCAAAACAAATTTGCAAAGTCAAAAGCCAAGATGGCCACCTATCTGCCATTTCGTTTTTCTGATCAGTCCTAAAATTAAGTGAGCAGAACTAGAGACCCTGGGAAACCTACATATGAAATATTAGAGAGGTCTCTGAAGTAGTTTCAAGAAAAAGAGATAACAAACTTCACTGTAAAAATCAAAGATGGCTGCCTGTTTGCCATTTGTTTTTTTTTATCAGTCCCAAAATCAAACAGGCACAACTAGGGACCAAGGGGAACCTACATATGAAAATTGAGAAATATCCATCCAGTTCTTCTAAAAAAATTACAATAACAAAAACTGTTTATGGACGGACGGACGACAGACATTGGACCAAGGCATAAGGTGATTTGAATGGCATACCATCAGATAATGGTGGGCTAATAATCTTTAAAGAACCTAGAACACATTTACCTATAAACAACTACTTGTTTGTTAAAGGAAGAAATCTTGTTTTTCATTCACTTACTTGTTCAATCTGATGGCATAGTTTTTCAGGGCAAACACATTGTCCGAGAATACAATGATTTTGTCATTGCGACGTTCATGATAACGTATGAGGAATTGACATGCCCGGAACTTGTTTGGATTCATGATGGCAAGCAGCTTTGATGAAAAGAAATGTCATCATTTAACATGAAATATCAATTTGTATAATACAGTTGAGGAAAATTGACATTTATTGTTTGAATAATATTCTTTTTCAGACAATGAAATGGTATGAAACTCCAATGATAAAGAATATATGTTTCTATCTGTATCCCTTCCATTCAAGTAAGAATTGTTGATGCTTTATCAGAATCTGTAGGTACTAGACTTGTTTGGACACAGTAGCAGGATTTACACGACCTTCTGCTACATTTCTGTTTTTACCTTGTAATGAAAAATTTCCAAAAAACTCATATCAAGAATCATTCAATTGCTTGCAGTGGTATGATAAAGGGGGATATTTTTTTTTCAAAACCGGTGAACACAACTTTTACGTTAAGTCAAGAAAAATGAAGAGAGGTGAAAAAAGTAAGATAAATCAAAATTTTAAATGAGCTCCAATACCTTTCCACAAAACTCCTACAAAAAATGTCTTAAACTACAGTAAAACACGTTTATAATGAACATGTTTATGGCAAATTTATGGTGAAGGGTTGTTCATTCCCCAACAAGTGCCTAATCATTTGTATGTAAATCTCAGTTTCACATGGCGATTTCATGTCCATAACAAAGCAGCTGCTAGGTCCACTCAGATACACATCAGTGCTATTTAGAGACCATATTATGCAGCTGCCCTCCGGCTGACATCACACCACAGTGACACCAGCACTCCGACAAAATAGCTTGTGTCACACATATGTATGCAACTATTGATACCTGTGTACAGGTAAGTGCCAAACACAGGTAAAGTAATTATAAATAAAGTGATTTGTTGTTATAAATACCTCAGGTATTCTATTGTATTTAGAGTTAGGAGTTATTGAACTCTTTTTATCCAATAATGAAACAGCCTGTACTAGTTTAGTTGTTCAATTGGAAATGGCTATGTTGTCTCAATCTCGTAAGAGAAAGGCTATTACTCCTGAAATTAAGTATAAAATTATCAATGTAGTTGACAATGGGACTATTGTAATTGGAAATTGCAGCCAAGTTTGTATTCCAGACCTTAACTTGTACAATCAGTACAATTTTTCAAAATTCTAAAAAAAGTACTAGGCCCTAAATTCATCGCTGAGCATCAGATTGCTGCGTATGAAACAGTTGAAGGGCTCTGTATCAATGATTTATAAAGAATCATGCAATATTTTTTTCCTTAATTCATTGCAAATGTGTAACAAATTATGTATATAATGAACTGATTGTCTTGGTCCCCAGAGGTTTGTTATCAACATGTTTTACTGTATAAGGAAATGTTGTAAAATGTTGTACATAAAGTTGTAGTTGGCTCAGTTCTACATTTGAAGTTTAATTGACAGGATCAATGCTTTTCAGTATAATTGATCACCATAAATAGTTAACAAATATTGAGTATATACCTACCATTTTCTTCATTGATTTTGTATTCAAGTATTCTCTGTAAAACTCTGGAGTCATAGGGCACCAAACCTTGAAAATAATTCATAAAGTATGTCAATTTTACATGAACGACGACATTTCATAAGGAGAGGAAGGGATGGGGCTGTCAGGTTAATTTTGTTATAGCCAGAGATGGTCAACTGATGAAGTTGTCACCACACTCTGCCTTGGCTCTCCCCTCTATTTTCACTATTGCAATTAATTCTTTTTATTCCCTGAAAAGGAATAGAGTGGTTACCTAATTGATTGTGTTTAGATATCATGACATTAAAATATCACTGATTGGCACGGTGAAAGTCTAATCCAGACTACACCACTGACAGAGGTCAGACATCTGCCTATACCAGGGTTAGAAAAATCCACTCGTCCGCTCGTCTAGACGAGTCAAAGCTACTTGCGGACGAGTGATTTGCTTCAGCTACTTGTCCGGCGGGCGAGTGAAATTTGTAGTTCTGACTATTGGATATTCCATAATAAATGATGTTTATCAACTTAAACACTCTTAAAACTAATTTAGATCCTCTGATAGTCGCTCAAATACATCGATGTAGTATCCTTGTTTACACCATGTGTCAAGACTCTGGCTGATCCAGACTACGCGAAAACCTATTACCGATTTTACCGATGTTGGTGGGAAAACAAAGTCAGGAAAATTCATTTCACGTAAGCTAATGCCGTAATGGCTGAAAGCATGTCGCATTGTGTAGACCATACAGGTAACATTCAATAAGTCACTTAATTATTCATAAAAACAGTTATTCTCCATAATGGTACAGTAAGCCTACCGGTAGACAAGTCCTCATTTCAATAATTGGTGTTTTGATAAGGGTTAGCCCAGCAATGGTATAAACAGCTTGGGTTGTCTCCTCACCTCAAGTGCGAGTGAGTGACAGCGTGTTTTCAATGGGGGAAAGGGGAATAACTCTAACTTTATTCATGTGACAAAAGTCAAACGAAATGGCTTCCTATTACGAAGTATGACACATTTCGAACCTGCAACGAGAATATGGAAGGAATTAACCATGGAAACTATCATAAATAATCATGTTTGGTTGAGGAAACATCATAGGAAAAACCATATAACAATAATATCATGTATGCTTGGCTTTTAAGAACACAATTCAAGGAGATACGATCTGGATTGTCAGAAGGAAAAAAGGGTCATTTGCTCTACAGCTCTGTAATGTCCGCACCCCCTTTTTTGGATTAATTTTCGGTGAAAAAAAATGCGGACATTACATGGGTTTTGACGGTATGTCACCACAAATATTGTAAACAAGGTTGTTTTGTGTACCTAGTTATTGTCAAAAAGTTGATGTTCTCGCTCGCGTTAACAGTGAATTAAAAATGAGTGAAACAATAAAAGCAAGTGTTGAGTTCGAACATTTGATATAGAAACTGATAATAAAATTTTTGTTCCTTAAATTACATTTTGTTGCCTTTCTTCTTCGGGTGAGTGAATATTGTATTCGGGCAAGTGAATTTCAAGTTTCACTTGTTCGACAGACGAGTAGCTGAAAATATTTTTTTCTAACCCGTATACATATACACAATGGACCTCCAGAGGTTAAACTCACTTTCGCTCTCTGTACCCCTGGAACCATCCTCAATATTCCATGGGTTAAACTCATTTTTGCTCTCTGAACCCCTGGAACCATCCTCACTACTCCAGGAGTTAAACTCGCTTCCACTCTCTGTACCCCTGGAACCATCCTCAACACTCCAGGAGTTAAACTCATTATCGCTCTCTGTATTCCTGGAACCATCCTCAACACTCCAGAAGTTAAACTCACTTTCGCTCTCTGTACCCCTGGAACCATCCTAGATATTCCATGGGTTACGCTCACTATCATTCTCTGTATCCTTGAGGATCCATGTGCGACATCTTGTGGAAAAGACCAGTTAGATCGTTTGATGTATATGAAATGAATATCGTGTTCCCATAACAGCATGATGTAATGGCTTTCAAGATGGGTATCACTCCTTTATAATCTTCAAAAGAGCATAGCCTGTGATCAGATTTTATCCCAGACCAATCAAATTACTTTGCTTCTGCCTTCAATTTTGCAATGATATATTGCAGGGATGCAGAGAGCAATAGTGAGCGTAACACCTTGAGTATTGAGGATGAAAATCTGGATGACCCCACACCTAAGCTAACCAGAATCTGGATGACCCCACACCTAAGCTAACCAGAATCTGATAAAGTGAAAAATCAATAGTATGATACTATAGGGTACATATGAACCAAATCTGTTGCGAGGTTCTCAATGTATGACACTGACTCCAAACAAGACAGGACGGGACAGGACAAAAAAAAACCAGATGTGGATAACACTACATCCTATCTCCCCAACCCATCTAATAAAATGGTGATGGCATAAAAATGGAAACCTCACCTCAGCACACTGCACTCTAGCAATGAAGCCTTTGTTTTGAAGCTCCATCCAGTTTGCCTCGTAAAGTTTTGGTCCTATCAGGAAGTTAAGATCAGCAATCTTGTCATCTTCTCGAACTAAGGTTGCAGTCAACCCAAGTTTACAATGGGCATTAACAATTGTCAATACACGTCGAAACATCTTAGCAGGTATGGTTTGTACTTCTGAAAATCAGATTAAAAAAATGCTTTGATACATATTCTTTTTGGCTGAAATAAACATTTTTTAATTTTCACAATAGTACAAGAATTTTAAACCAGCAAAGTTTACCATGTGACTATTCCATTTAATACTGGAAACACAAACAGCTTCCACAGTGATACATGCAAATACAGATTAAAATTGCTTAAATTGAACAAATTAAGCCACTGGATAATTTATGATATACTCTGCAACATCTAATATTACTGAAGCGACAATATGCGATACCATCATGTTTTTTAATTCTTATTTTAAAATTGTAATTACTTTTCAGAAAGAAAATATGTTTACCACGGTACAATGTTCGTCTTGACATATTCATCAAATTAGACAGGTCAACAAAAAAGCTCAGTAGCTCAGTACCTTCGATTGGATATATGAAAATGCACATAGTAAATGAAACTTGTCAAAATATACAGGTTTCAGATAAGAATGGTTTTCTATACAGAATAGCAACCATACTATTTAAGACCAAAAGTCCCCATTCCTGACTCTACATTAAGAATATACACATTTCAGATAAGAATGGTTTACTATACAGAATAGCAACCATACTATTTCAGACCAAAAGTCCCCATTCCTGGCTCTATATTAAGAATATACACATTTCAGATAAGAATGGTTTTAACAATTCAGAGTAGCTACTGTACCATCTAGGACCATAAGTCCCCATTCCTGACTCTGCATCCATTCCATCACTTTTTCTGCCTCCCATGACCGCTTCTGGCTATGTGCCAACATAGAATAGGTACTGATACAGATGGAACAGCCTGACAATAACAGAATATACAATAAATACTGTAAATATTGTTCACTTATTCATTAACATATTGATTTCTTATTTTTTCAATGTTTTAAATCTTTGAGGTTTTACAAAAAGCTTAAATAAAACAAGAGATCCCAGAGGGATCTTGGTGCTCATCATCATTTGATCTTTATTTGCTCTTTAAAAGTTGGATCTTTTCCCTTCTCTTCAGGTCTCTTCTTTGTTTTTTCTCTTAATGATAAGCAATTTGAACATTCCTTTGTAGAAATAGTGGTGATAATCTTTACCTGCCAATTCCAAAATGGTTGCCTGAAAGCCATTTTGTTTATTCTGATCAGTTCCAAAACAAAACTAGCACCAGTAAAACCCAAAGGGAACAAATGTTTGAAAATTGAGAGAGATCCATTCAGTACTTCTTAAGAAATAGGGATAACAATCAAAATCCAAGATGGCTGCCTGTCTGCCATCTTGTTTTTCTAATCAGTCCCAAACTAAACTGAAACAGGCACAACAAGTGACCAAGAGCAACCTATACATAAAATTTGAGAAAGACCTATGAAATATTTCTCAAGAAATAGTGATGACAAACTTCCCGCAGTCAAAATTCAAGATGGCTGCCTGTAGCCCATTTCTCTGACCAGTACCAAAATCAAACATGCACAATTAGGAACAAGAGAAACATACATCTGAAATTTGCTTTAGTTCTAAAGAATAATTGATATCAAATTTTCAAAATCCAAGATCACTGCCTGTAGGCTAATTTGATTTTCTGATCAGACCTAACTTCAAATGGCACAACTAACATACAGTATGAAATTTACGATGGCAACAACTAGGGAACACCATCCAGTGCTTCTCAAGAAATAGTGATAAGAATCTTGCAGTCAAAATCCAAGTTGGCCACCTCTCAGCCATTTCGTTTTTCTGATCAGTCCCAAAATTAAATGGGCACAACTAGGGACCAAGGGGAACCTACATTCGAAATTTAAGAAAGATCCATCTAGTACTTCTCAAGAAATAGTGATAACAATCTCTTGCAAAGTCAAAATCCAAGTTGGCCACCTCTCAGCCATTCTGTTTTTCTGATCAGTCCCAAAAATAAATGGGCACAACTAGAGACCAAGGGGAACCTACATTCAAGAAATTTAAGAAAGATCCATCCTGTACTTCTCAACAAATAGTGATAACAATCTTGCAAAGTCAAAATCCAAGTTGGCCACCTCTCAGCCATTCTGTTTTTCTGATCAGTCCCAAAAATAAATGGGCACAACTAGAGACCAAGGGGAACCTACTTTCAAAATTTAAGAAAGATCCATCCTGTACTTCTCAAGAAATAGTGATAACAATCTTACAAAATCAAAATATTGATATCCATGGCTTTATCCAGCAATGGGCACCTGCCTAGTTATAAGCCTTCCCATGTATCTTTGCTGTCAAGGAGAATTAATAACAGATGCTATCGTATTTTTGAGTCCGAGGTTACATGTAGACCTGAGCTCATAAACAGATAATTACACAAACTTACCAATAGGTTTGTCTTTAGCATCAGACGTGAATCTACAAATGATACTGTCATCTGCTGTTGACCACATTTTAAACTGAAAGAAATCAATGGACATGAAAAGACCTGTTAATACAAGATAACATATTATGAGTACAAAGTCTTCTATCTCCAGGGAATGTGGAGCTGTTCCCCCTAACAGGAAATTACAGACAATTTGTATGTAACCCAGCTAAGAGATCCAGGTAATGACAGACTACTGTGTTTAGAACAAATACTTTTTATGTAACAGGTTTCAGATATTTACAAAATGGTATGAAGAATTTGAAATATACAGTTCAAGAAAAGTGTAAAGGAGAGCTTCAAAGTTACGAATTTTCCATTGAAACTTTACAAAGTCTCAAGACAAAAATAAAACAGAGAAAAAAAAATCAAATTTGTGTTGCCAGATGGCGGAAGATTCCTGTGAGGAGATGAAGATTCCATGTATGAACTCGCCATATGCCTCTACCCACCTGAGAGCGCCATTGTTCTACAGCTACACCTGAGGTTGCCAAGCACAAGCATCTTTTTCTGATAGTACATGCTGCTGTCACACCCACCAAGGTCTTACCAGCACCTAAATAGTAAAACAGTGAGTGAATGATCTTGATTTTAATTTCAGAGTATCATGAGTTATAGCCAACAGTTAATTGTTGCTTTACATCCTATTAACAGCCAGAGTCATTTAAGGACATGCCATGTTAGGGTGGTAGAGAAAAGCCAGAGTTCCCGAAGAAAAACCATTGACCTGAAGCCAACATCTGGCAACTGCCCCACATCACATTCAACACGTAACCTAGAAGTGGAGGGCAAGTGATAGAGAAAGTTAGACACCTGAACCACTCTGTCACCACGGCCCCCTCCACCTTCCCCAATATATAGCCAATTAAAATACTTTACAGTGCTATACATATATATATATATATATATATATTTGATTTATTCAATTGAAAATGTTGAAAACAAATGGTTCACCTTTCCAATTCTGGCATTACATATTGTAAATACTTGTACCAGAAAAGTTAAAATTGCTTACTTTAGTACACCCAGATACACAAATGGGTACCAACAAACCTGCAAACTATAATATAACTTTCCGATTAATTTATAAACTCTAAATAAGTTTAAGATACTGTGATAATCTTAAACCTCATGGGAAATGAGAATGAAACTTAGAGAGCAGTCCCTTTTTATCAAGCAATAAATCCATGTCTGATAATAAGCCCACCCATTTATATAGCAGTTTCGTAAAATTACTCACCAGTAATAAGATGAATAACTTTATATAAGTAAAAAGAGATATGTTGGATGGTTCATTGGTGGATAAATACAGTAATTTTAAATAATGTTTTTTTTTCTTCAGATTTCTGGCAGGTCTTACCACAAGGAAGAACAATAACTCCAGAACGTGCTCGACCATTCCCAAACATCTTTCTCAGACTTTTCTCTTGATAGGGTCGTAACACTGTAGATGGCTTGAGGTCCATACTAAAATCAACGAGATGATATTGAATTTGTGAATATTTGATGATATTACTTGCTACAATTGAACAATGATGTAGTATTCATTGAAACAATTTATACAAAATTAATCTAACATGTCTACAACAGGAAATCTGAACCAATTTTAATATAAACATATTATTTAAATACAGAAGTCCAAAGTCATTGAAAAGACAAAGAAAAAACCAAAACAGACAAAGACTTCTACTTCTGCCAATCCTGAAATTCTGTGTCCACATACAACTTTGCAGTTACTTGTGCTTACTTTATATCAGGGTTGTGGGTGTCGTTTTTGAAGTCATATTCTGCCAACAGGGGATATTCCAATTCTATACACCTGTAAATATAGAAATCACAGTAACAATCCATATCTAGTTTAATTGTGATCGTTTCATAATTATCTACCACAAACAAGGCATCACAAGCAACACCAATCCCCTCACAATTCAAACAATATGTGCAATAAAAATGACATAAAATGGTAAGTACATGTAAAGTGAAGATTTTATCAAAATCCTTTCAAGAAAATGTTGCTGCGTGACTACTGACAAGAATTTCTAAAAGTATTAAGTGTAAGCAACCATGACCCTAGAAACCTGAGATATATGCTATGCGGCACGGAAATATCCATAAATGTTTACTACCCCACCCCTCCCCCAACACCCTACACCCCCTCGCCAACACCCTACACCCCTCCCCCAACACCCTATACACCCCCTCACCAACACCCCTCCCCCAACACCCTACACCCCCTCGCCAACACCCTACACCCCCTCGCCAACACCCCTCCCCCAACACCATACACCTCTCCCCCAACACCCTACACCCCCTCCCCCAACACCCTACACCCCCTCACCAACACCCCTCCCCCAACACCCTACGCCCCCTCCCCCAACACCCTACACCCCCTCCCCCAACACCCTACACCCCTCCCCCAACACCCTACTCCCCCTCCCCCAACACCCCTCCCCCAACACCCTACACCCCCTCCCCCAACACCCTACATCCCCTCCCATTGTCATTGCATCTGTATAGATGATCAATATAACATATCCTATCATTGTATTTATCGAGGAATAAGTCTAGGGGGTGAGGGGCAAAACACTTGTCATAGGAGCTAGGAAATGACAGGGGGTGGGGGGGAAAACACTTGTCAGAGGAGTTAGGAAAAGACAAGGGGTGGGGGTAAAACACTTGTTGGAGGAGTTAGAAAAACACAGACTCATCATTTTCCTAACACAAAGGATAAAAAATATCTATACTGTTTTTGGTTTTTGTTTTTTATAAAATATTCACCGTTTTTGTATTTCTTCAATATTTTCCTGTTTGACCTCAAATGACACAGTTTTCATGTCTTCAAAGTCATCATCCTCGTCCTTGTCAATTTTATCATAGTAATCGAAGATATCGTTAGGTACAGCTGGCTGTTCTGTTTCCTCTACTCCCTCCCCTGAGCCTGACGGACCCGGAGTGGGATCTGCTGTAGAACCTGCAGCTCCATTAGAAGGCTTGTTCAACTGAGAAGACATTTAAACCAAGCAACTTAACACACATAGATAACAGAGCATGGACCAGTAAGAAAATCTTTCCAAAAGTATGAAAGAAATACTATTAAGAAATTAAAAATGACATTTTCATCATGCATGCATCAAATGAAAATTAGGGAAGTTTTTATTCATTACAAAGTCACTGTCTACATCTAAAGTAATAGGATTCAAAATGTTTCTGATTTGAATGACAATTATTTTATGATATACAAAGTATAAGCTAGAACTAATGATTTTTCAGTGACATGGTATTGAAACCCCTATTGAAATAATGTTCAAAATTGAAATATTATTTCAATCATGAAAAACATTATTGCAATAGTGGTCGCAGATTCAACTGAAATACGACTACAATTGAAATGACGTCAACTCTATTGAAGCAATATTTCAATAGTAAACGTGGCTTGTAATATTGCTGTTTTGGTTCAACAACTGTTGAAATAATTTTCAATCAAATACACCTGAGGTTGTAATGGAGTGTACCATTGTGAACTGATTGAGGTGGCGGTAACTGACTTAAATTCCACGCAACAGTCATGGTCATTTGCGGACAGAATCATGGGTGCATAATATGTGTTGTGTGTAATGAGTGCTTATGGACCGCTTGTACTGGAGCAAAAATCACTGTTTTAAGTTCTCAGATTTATGCGGATTTGATTCCCGGCCTGGTCATACCTATCTAAAAACTTGGCAAGAATATACTCAAGATTTTGCAATGAAACTGAATAATTGTAGGCTACTATAACAACCTCTGGCATACTTAAATGAAAATTAGTTGAACCAATAGAGCGATATCGCATGCAGTGTTCACTATTGAAATAATATTTCAATACAGCTGACATTATTATAATAGTAGCCATGATTGCATTGAAATTGAATCTGCAATCACCATTGAAGTAATTTTTGTCACCACTGAAATAGTATTTCAATAGTGAACATTATTTCAATAGGGACACCAACACTTGGCCATTTGCTTGAAAGATAAAGATTCTGTACTATGTTTTATACCTGTAGTGCTGACTTCGAGGAAATCTGTCCCTCGACTAGTCCCTCGACTAGTTCCTCTGTCTGCTGGCTGCTGGCTCTAAAGCGACATTCCTGGATGACAGGATCCTTCAGCAGCTTCTGTATGACATCCTAACATAGAGAAACGAATGTAGGTTAGAAACGGGGATAAAAAATAACAGAAATTTCTATAGTAATTTTTTTTCTCTTTTTGTTATTTTCTGTATTATGTTCAAATAAATATCCCTTTCAAAATTGTCTGCATGTCACAATGTTTATAATTCTGAATTACCTTTGTGTCAACTGTGTCATAAAATCAAAATATGTAAGTCATAAGTAGTGCTAGGTAGCTGGAAATTGTAAAATTATGCAAAAACAAATTTATCACAATTTCTTTTTGTATGTGGATTAATTGTGCATTGACCTACTTATTGAAAAAGTGCAACTGAAGTTCTAATGAAAGAAAAACTAGTACATGTCTATAAACAAAAAAATGCTCCCTCTCCAAACAAATATACGTCAATGTTTGAAAATTTCTATCAATTGTAAATGTGACCTTGATCTTATAAACTCAAAACACCAACTCATACAGGTAACTGTAGTATTCCATGAAGAACTGAATTCAAAGTTGCTGGAGTGATAGGATAAGACACGACAAACATGTAGGCAACACTATATGACCTTCGTCAATTCTACATTTTCACCAATAAAATGTTTACTTACCGGATGCTGACTTTCTACATAGTATCTGTTGTGCTTGAGCACTAGCTTCACTTTACCATAGCTCAGGGTACACAACTATAACAAACACATAACAAGATTAACATTATGAAAACAACATGGAACAGTAACGCTTCCAAATACAGTCAAATCAAAACTCTTATTTAGGAAAACACAACCTCATGTCATAGTGATTAGGACTACCAAGTTTGAATAAGATTGATTGAAAACTGTGGGAGGAAATCCTTGGACAAACGAAAGTTTATTATGGACAGACTTACAACACCATACCATAATTTGTCCTGTCAAAACTTTGGACAAGTGTATGAAAACATCCAACAAATCTCCATAAAAGTTTGTTGCTTTCAGTTGGATTTTTCTCCTTCCACAGTGAATTTCTTGTTTAGTGATATGACATCATATCATATGATTGTTACGGTGTAGAACCCACATGTCCCAATCATTGGGTGAGGGAAAAAATATCTCAAATAGGTAAGAGTGTGTTTATGTCCATCAAAGAAAAGTTTTAAAATTCACAAGACTTTAATTGAGGTAATGATAATGGATGTCCATTAAAATTTCATAACCCTTTCATTCACCCCTTCACACTTAATTGAAGGGCTACAACCTGATAGTTGATGGCTAGAGGTTGGGGACACTGAGATCACTTTCCTGTTCAGTTCTGACAAATACAACTGACTATTTCAAAATTAAATCACTTTTGATAGTACATTTATAACCTAAAGATTTTGAAAAACAAAACTAGATATGCAATGTCTGATCCATCATTGACGCTAAACTGAAAAAGAGCTCCAAGGGGCCTGCATCGCTCACCTGGCTAATTAAGCCATTTAATAAAGAATTTCAAATATGATATAATTATCCTAGTGGGGGACGGGATGCACCTCATTTTCAGGCCATGCCCCTAAGGCCCCCTGGGAACTGAGAAACAATCCTCACACAAACTTTGTTCCTCTTCACCCAAGAATACTTATGCCCAAATTTGGGCCATATTAATCATTCATTTGCTCTATTTCCCCCATTTTGCCCCATACCTCCTTCCCCAGGGGGCTGGAATCCACTGTTTATATACTATTGATTCCTTTGCACCAAAGACTGCTTCAGACTAAATTTAGGAAATATCCATCCACTCCTACAGAAGAATTTTAAAGAATTTACTGTATTTTCCGGGTCATAAGCTGCACCGGTATATAAGCCACAGAGCCAGGTTTTACCAATTTTTTCGACTTGATCCACATATTAGCCGTATTTGAATATAAGCTGCACCCTTACGAAGTGGTCACTGTTACATTGACAAAGTTCATTGATATAACGAGACCCATCGTTTATATAAACTTGATTTCCTACACCCAGCAATGCTTCAAACCAGTTTTGGGCAAAATCCAATCATTCCTAATGGAGAAGTAGGATTTTTAAGAATTTGCTCTATTACCTGTATTGGACCAGGATCACTTGTAAATTGATCTTGTGGATTGATATGAAATTTCTACAATGAAATACTGTAAGTTGCCTTTATGTGGGATTGAATGGTATTAGTTCAGTCACAATGTCAGAACATTCTATGTACAATTTTTACAAAACAGCATCTAACAAAATTCTAACTTGTCAGGAATATCCTATAACGAAGATGTACGGATAACTACAGGAAAGTGATATCTAATTCACATTCTTTTAGTGAAGATAAATTAATCTTGATTATTTCCAATCATGACCTCATTACTCAACATTTTTACTTACTGACCTTTATAAATTCCTCTATACCAGAGGGAAGTGTAGTCTTGCTGAGACGACGGAGATATTCAATAATATCCTTTGTCTCTAGTCCAACAGACACTGCAGCATACAGAGAGTACGGCGTAAGTTTATACTCATGGATATTAAGTGGTCGGCAAACAGGCTGAAATGAAGATAAAATACAAACCATTTAACAAATGCATCAACTATTAATAAAAGAATGGACAGAGTACATCACTGAGCAGTAGATAGTACTAATGGTTTTATACAGCGTACCATTTTATCACATATTGATCATACAGCATGACCTTAACTCTGAGATATTTTCACAAGATATAGATATGCTCCATTAAATGTTTGTGAAACCATGGTATTGTTCTATTAACTTCTGTTTACAGGATATATCTAAACTAATATGTGCTAAATTTATAAATTCTGTTGAAAAACAAATTACCTGGTACCTCTTCTGTCAAAACTGATGTACTACTTTATTAACAAGTTTATATTGCCATGCACACAATTCACCATTTTGTGTCAAAACAGTAATATCTATTTTGAGTAGCATCCTTTTTTTCTTTTACATATATATATACATAAATGTTTAAAATTCTAAATTGTAACTTTTCTTCAATTAACCTTGTCATTTCAATATTTTCCATCAGAATTTTAAGATAAAAATTGTGAAAATAGGTCACTGTCGATAAAATTCCTTTGTATGAATAAATGGCAAATAAAATTGATCACTTATTTAAATCAATGAATTACAGGGCAACACAGATTGAGCTCAAAGTTTTTATCAGAATAATAAAACATCTTACTTCAGATATGGCAATCAGGAAATCATGGGCATGTTTATACACAGGTGAAAATGACTCTAGGAAAATATGTCCATTTGGTCCCTGAAAGCAGAAAATAATAATCAGTAATTTTTGTTGAACTTTTTCAGGCAAGTCCAGATCATCATTTTCATAATTTTGATGATTCCCATCACTATGAGAGATATATAGTAAGTAACAAAATCTAGATGAGCCCCACAGGAAAAGCATAAGTCATGATAAATCCAAAACTCCAAAATCTGACTCCTAAAAATCACTCTTAATTCTCAGTTTCTAAATACTGACCACCCACAAAGGTCTTGATCCATGGTCAAACTTGAGGTCAAGCATCGGGCGATAGTCTTTTGCCCCAAATTCATCCTCTTTTGTTTCCTCCTGGATATTTTGTGTGGCTGCTTTAGGAACACCTTTAATGTCAAACACATAAACTGTAAATTTTGCTATTTTTGAGGGTTTCTGTTGTTTAATTTGGAGGATAAAATAAAATTGTGAAAAAAAATTGATAAGAGAATCAAAGACTGTTTTATGGCTTTTTCAAAAAATTCATCTTTATCTTCACGTTTGGTTTCATTCGAATAGAAAAAGTCATTATCCAGTTTTCTATCCATTGCTAGCTGACTTTGTTATTGACAAAATTTAGAGATACAAGTGTTTCTCCAATCTTCTTATCCATTGCTTTGGTGCACTTAGTACACCATCATCTTCCAAACAAAGCAAAATTTTTTGTATCTGTGTACATAAGAGAGTAAAACCTCAATATTACAACAGTAATCATTTTTGATAGAGAAGTTTATGATCCTGAGAAATTAAGGTTTCAAACGACAAATTCTTGTTTGAATGTTGAATGTATCTATCCAAGGTTTAACCTTTGTCAGTTTCTTTAATATCATCTTCCTCTTCTTCATATTCTTGCTCAAGCTTTGCTCTTTTACTGGCTCTTCGTTCCTCTGCAGGAAAAGCAAAACTATCAAATGGTGAAACATTTTCAAAGCAAAGATTATTATCGATATTTAAGAACCAAAGACTCGGAGAGATTGTGTCTCTATCTTGAATATGAATACGAATACGATCATGGAAAAATAATTAACTACCACAAAGTGTATTAATTCAAATTGAATATTGGAGATCATATTTTTAGAGGTGAACTTTCTTGTGCTTCATTCTCAGGGTACAATGTAGCTGTTGCTTTATAGCAAATATGAGATCAACACCTTTATTCTACGCTATTTCATCCATTAAGCCATGTATCCTTGGGAGTTCTTTGTTTTTAAGATTCTCAGGTCACAAAGAACAATCTTGAATTCACTGGGAATTATGTTTATACATGTATAACATAATTTTTAAGAATCCATAGTAAAATTGAAAACAAGTGAGGTTTGAATCTAACAGCAGAACTGTACCCTCTTAACATGGGCAGCAGGTATATACGTAACAGTTGTCTCGTAGACTAATAAATGCGTTCATCAAGTCAGATTATACCATGACTTGAAAAGCTGACCTCCATACCAAATACAGGACACGATTTATTTGCTGTATTAGTTGTAGATTTTAAGCATGTCCTACAACGACTTAAGTTGTGATAAAGATGCATTTTGGCAAATTTATGTGAATCACAGACTCGCACCTTTATCCCTTTTGTCTTTCTTCCCCATATCAAGTCGTCAGACGTTAATTGGATGTCTGATGTTCACGTCCGTGATGCAACCATTTTGCCTGTTCTATTAATAAATTTCAGAACAGTCACTAATATCTCGATTCGATCACGACAAGTCGGTTTCCATATTATTTCACAATGAGAGAGACACCAATGCCGAAAAGGAGTAGCTATTTGTTTTACGACATCTAATGCATAATTGTTAACAAAATATTTGTTTACTCTATGATAAGTTTTTACAGCAACTGATTACAAATATCATAGAAATACATAAACATCTCTTTTTTATTATAGTACATCTCTTATCTCGAATTTATACATCAGTTATTATGGCGGAAGCACGTGTATATTTTTAAACCTGCATGCGCAGTACCCACACATTGATTTCCGGCTTCAACATGTAAACAAACACATGATCATTACCACTCCTACTTGGTATATGTTGTTCGTTCTTTCGGTTTTACGCAGAAATGCTACCTCCGCAATCGCATTAAAAGGTTTACAACGAATTACAGCAACTATGGCGACAAAACGGCCCCATTGTCAGCGTCTGATTGGAATGGAAGGTTCCCATCACAAAGTGAACGACGTTGTGGTCGCTGGAAGATCTGTCAAGACAGCCAAGCAACATGTCTTTTTCTTCGGAGGGGATGTTCAGGTACAGAAGAGAAAATGCTTGTAGATATATAAGCTTCGACACTACGTACAAATGTATATTGTTGTTATCGTTTCAGGTAAAGATCATCATAATTTACCTGTCAGCCTATAATTGAATATGTGCTGTGTGAAGGAAATGTGTTACACCAAATTTTTTGAGAACTATGCGACAAACTTTTTATCTACATGTGCATTTCTAAACTGGTGTAATTGTGAAGTATATATTGTATCGTTTGGACATCGGTTCCGGAACGGCCATTTCGTCGAGCCGTGTCTCATAAACTATTGACCTGCGTGACCTTGCACGCGGATAATTTTGGTTGCAGTAATATGTCACGCTGCCAAAAGAAGAAAAAGTTGTGATTTAAACCATTTACCATAAAATATTATGAGCACACTTTTCATTGGCAAATCTGTGCATTTCTTCGTAATACACATTTTGACATGTCAAATATCCTCCTTGATATGATGAATAACCGATCAGCTCATCAGCAGATGCCAATGTTTCATGGTCATCTGAGTAAAAATCAACTATAAATAATAGGCCAGGCCTTCTCACAAGAAATCCAAACTTGCACGTCTTATATTGAAAAAATAATGATTATTATTAACTATAAGATTTATAAAAGAACCTGATCGATGGACACTAATGTTTTTCTCGCAAAATATCCACAGATTAGATCTCAAATCGGCTCATATGAAATGATCGGTATTTGTATTGAACATGTGAGTACATTTCCGTTTGTGATGACATCACTAAAACATTAAGATGCTGTTATGGTCAATTTTTATTCACACAACAGATGACAACAAAATGTTGGTACCCGAGGATGGATTGATTTCATCATATCTGAGATGATGGTTGACGTTTAAAAGGAAAAAGTACACAAACTTACCTTTGAAATATGTTATCATAATATTTTGTGGTGGATGGTTTGAATCACAGATTTTTATTCTTTCTGAAAGCATGACATGTTACAGCAACCAACATTACCAGGGTGCAGGGTCAGGAAGGTCAATAGTTCATGTGATACGGTTTGACAAAATGGCCATTCCGAAATACATAACAGTCTCTAACCAATGATGATACATTATATACTTCACATGTTCACCACTTTAGAAATGTACATGTAGATGAAAAGAATTTGGCTGTTCTCTAAACACATTCCCTCCTTTCAGCACATATACATGCACAAAACAGAGAGTAGATTATGTTGTTAGTGTTATCATGAGACTGTGGAAGAACATGGAAAATACACATTAATTTTCTGAAGAATGCAAGATAGGGATCTCAGACATGAGAATCCATATAAGACCATATTTAACACTATATACAAACCACACTGAAGCTCCTTTTACCTTTCTCCCCAAGATTTTCTTGAGATTTTCTAAATTTCAAACCAAGACTCCACATACCAAAACCAATGGGATTTCATTGGGTGTCAATGTGACAGAACAGGGAAAATACTCATTCCTAATGAGTACCCCAAAAGGAATTGTACCTGGGATTCCAGTGTGATAATTTAGGGCTGTACCAGCTGAACCAAATAAGCATATTACAACAGCTGAGTGACAGAGACCGTAATCAACACTATGTACAAGTCACACTGACCCACTATATTTACAAGATAATTGTCTATAACCACATGTAAAATGCGTTACTTCTGTGTGTATCAAGTTGAGAGTAATAAAGGTTTCCTTTCTTTCAGGACTATGAAGAGAAAATGCATGTGTGTAATTCAGAGTATATCGAATGGAATGTAGAGGCAACCGCAGAGTTGCTGTTTCGGCGATTTCCAGAAGGAATGATAATGGTTGTGAAACCCAAAACTATGTACTTAAACACATTCAGTATATTCTCAAACTTTGTTGACTTTTCCGAAACATCAGTGCCTACACATAGAGAAGACTATGGTGGACTCGTTCATTTGGTGAAACTCTATTCAAACATACTTAACCGACTTCAGTCTGGAGATCATGATCCCGAGAATTCTTGTGATAAATATACCTGCAACCCAAATGTTGACATTATTTTGATTGGATTTAGCAAAGGATGTGTCGTCCTTAATCAATTTATATATGAATTGAACTTGGCAGATCTCGAGAAGAATGTGAAAGCATTTCTGGAAAAGGTGAAGTCAATGTATTGGCTAGATGGTGGACATAACGGGGTAAGCAACACCTGGATCACTGACCGGCTTTTACTGAAGCAGTTAGCAGCTCAAAATTTTGAAATATATACCCATGTGACCCCTTACCAAGTCATGGATCCCATGAGGGCTTGGCTTGGCCAGGAACAGGCAACTTTCGTGAAGGAGTTGAAGGACCTCGGTGCAAATGTAAAAAATTTTGAGCATCATTTCAAAGAAAAGCCTTCTATTGAGAAACATTTCGATGTTTTAAAGCAATTTTGATCGTTTTGTTAATTCTTAGAAAGTTTCGATAATTTAAGCAAATCAGAACTCATCATTATGCTGTTTTACCAGTATATCTGATCTTAATTGATCTTTGATGTGATTATGTACTTCCCTATATTCAAACTGAAACAAAAGGTTATAAGAACAAACTAAGGAGGGTGCACTAATTCCCACTGATTATTTGTGTAGCACCTTTTACTTGGGATGTTTTTTAGATTGAAACTATTTTGTCATACCTATCCATGATTTATACTTCATAAACCTTGCTTTCAACCTTTTTTTTTAAATTATCAGTGTTCAATGAATTTTTTACCAATTGTTATTAAAGCTATTAACAGATGATTTTTATTTTAAATATTTTATACATATTTGTTGTTATTTATGTGTTTGCATGAATGAATCATGATGATAAGGGAAAAAAATTGTTGAAAAAAAATCATTGTGTAAGCAAATAGGAAAAAGTGAAATGCTTCACTTTACTATGGTGGTGGTGAAGTCAATACCCCACTCCCCCTCCTGATCCACCCTAAATTTTCCCACTCCAGACGTATTTGTCATTATTTATATGATTTTATGAATGAATTAGGGTGATTAGGGAAAAAAATGTTGAAAACAATGATTGAATAAGAAAATAGCAAAAATGCTTTACTTTACCTTCGGTTCACTTCACCATTAAGTATTTAGACCCTGGTTTATTTCCCCATGCTTCACAATATCATGCTACAACATTCTAAAATTTGCTATTTGAATTGTCTAGCATAGAAATTCACCAGCATTGGGATTTCCTTTCCAGTTTCTCAAACTTACTCCTTCAAAATGTCATTGATGCATCTTTAGAGTTTCCCTGTGATGCTTTAAACTTCAAATATTGGCAATAAAGGCAGATCCTCATTAAAATCGAAACATGTCTATTGGTTGTTGTTCACATGAATTCCATTAATTCCTTTCTTTGAAGCACCTGTTCCGAATATCAAGATGTTCAAGCAAGATGTCGAAAGTTGAGATATTAACTCACACCACAGCATTTCTAGAGAGATGATTGAGAAGTTTTCTGGCCCCCACCAAAATCTCATTGGGAATAATTTATTTTTCAAGTGACTTTTGGCGATTGTGTTTTGTCCGGCATCACCTGGTATGCGCTGTAAACAATTTTCAATTTCTTTTTAATAGCCAAAAGCCCAGCATGCTGGGATCAAGGGCTACTACACTTGTTAAAATGAATGACACTGATTCACTTGCGAGGTTTCAGGGGCTAAATGTGTTGAAATCATTAAACAACTTCTCAATAACTGAAAGGCCCAGGGTGCTTATGTTGGGATGGAAGTATACTGGTATGAAGGGCTACCAATTTGACTCAAATGAATATCCTTGAATCACTTTCACGGGTCTAATGGTAAAAATCTTACATTTGTCTAAATATCCAAACCATTGAGGGTGCTGATATTGGGCCTGTAGCATACTTGGATAAAGGGCTACAAAGTTTGTACATAATCTTAACCATGACCTACTTTCAAGACCACAGGTGTCAAATATGTCAAACTCTTTAAAACTCTTCAACTTTTAAACTCTTTAAATGACTTCTCCTTAATAACCAAAAGACCAAGTGTGCTGATATTTGGTCTGTAGCATGCTGGCATAAAAGGCTACTGAGCTTTTTCATATTGTTGACCTTGACCCATTTTCAATGTCATAGGTTTCAAATATGTCAAAATATATAAATGATATCTCATCAATAACCAAAAGGCTTAGTGTGCTGATATTGGACCTGTAGCATGATGGGATGAAGGGCTGCCAAATTTGTTGAAATGAATTACTTTGACCTATTTTCAAGGGTACTGGTGTCAAACATATTTAAATGTTTCAATGACTTTTCCTCAATAAACAAAAGGCACAGGATGTTGATATTGAGCTTGTATTATCCTGGGATGAAATGCTACAGGATCATCTTTATTATTGACCTTGACCAACTTTCAAAGTCACGGGGTCAAATGGGTTGAAATCTTTAAAGGGCTTCTCAGTAACAAAAATTCCAAGGGCGCTGATATTAGGCCTGTAGCATGTTGGCATGAATGACTACCAACTTTCTTCATATTGTTGACCCTGACCCACTTTCAAGGTCACATGTATCAAATATGTCAAAATATGTAAATGATTTCTTCTCAATAACCAAAAGGCCTAGGGTCATGATATTTGACAAGTAGCATGCTGGTATGCAGGGCTTTCATGTTTGTTCAAATGAATGAGTTTGACCTTCATTCAAGGTCACAGAGGTCAAATTTTCTAAACTTCAACAACAAAGAATGTTTTCAGTTCCGTTTAATTGAAAATTAAGCCTTCAAACTTAGAAACAATTAATAAAAATGTGTAAGTATGCATATATCAGTTCTGTTTTGTCTGTCCTAATGCTGGGACCGGTTCTAAAACTGTTCAAAGATCTGAAGACCTCAGGTGACTGTTAAGACCCATCATAAATCAGGTGACCGTTAAGACCCATCGGCCTCTTGTTTGTTGTTCTTGCTGCTCTTATTTCAGATCGTCACATTTCATACTTGGATTGACCAAGAGCTTACCAAGATTTTAAGTCGTGGATGTCGTCAATGAAGCAGAAGATGCTTACACTTCAGGAAACACTTCTAACGGGTTGCCGAGAATATAATTATTTAGACGAATTTTCTCTTACCTTCAGAAAATCTGGGTTTGGATTGAGTTTCTGTGGACATGCCGTAATTATTATTGTTAAAGATCAGTATTCTCAATTGGGTTTGTAAAATAACGAATAGTACTGGATCGATTTAAACTAGTACAATTGTCTTTGTCTTAAATCACCAACAATGTACACGTATGTGTAACCACAATTTATATTTGAATGATTGTATTTTATCAGCCGCGGTTCGTTGAACACAAACAATATCAATGTGCTGTCATCGTAAAGTGACCTGGACGTTTGCAGGTCATTAACTGTATCGTGTGTAAAAGAATGTATCTTGTGTTCAAAATTGTGTTTTTCGACTTGGAGTATAGACGTTCAAGGATAACTATTGGTAAACTGTTGCATGTGAAAACGACAAAATCTTCTAAATGGAATAACACCACTATTGAACTGATGTAATCATAATGACAACGGTAAGGTACATGCGTTAAATCAGGTTTCACAACGGTAAGGTATATGCGTTAAATCAGGTTTCACAACGGTAAGGTACATGCGTTAAATCAGGTTTCACAACGGTAAGATACATGCGTTAAATCAGGTTTCACAACGGTAAGGTACATGCGTTAAATCAGGTTTCACAACGGTAAGGTACATGCGTTAAATCAGGTTTCACAACGGTAAGATACATGCGTTAAATCAGGTTTCACAACGGTAAGGTACATGCGTTAAATCAGGTTTCACAACGGTAAGGTACATGCGTTAAATCAGGTTTCACAACGGTAAGGTACATGCGTTAAATCAGGTTTCACAACGGTAAGGTACATGCGTTAAATCAGGTTTCACATTAAAGACTCCTTTTGCGTTAGAGCATGTTTCAATTTTAATATGAATCATCTTATTGTGTTTCCAAAACGGTAAGTTTCACGTTTTTGGTGTATTTCACGTTACGGTATATTTCACACGTTACGGTATATTTCACGTTACGGTATATTTAACACGTTACGGTATATTTTACGTTACGGTATATTTCACGTTACGGTATATTTCACGTTACTGTATATTTCACACGTTACGGTATATTTCACGTTACTGTATATTTCACGTTACGGTATATTTCACGTTACGGTATATTTCACACGTTACGGTATATTTCACGTTTTTGGTGTATTTCACGTTACGGTATATTTCACGTGACGGTATATTTCACGTTACTGTATATTTCACACGTTACGGTATATTTCACGTTCGGTATATTTCACACGTTACGGTATATTTCACGTTACTATATATTTCACGTTACTGTATATTTCACGTTACGGTATATTTCACGTTATGGTATATTTCACACGTTACGGTATATTTCACGTTACGGTATATTTTACGTTTCGGTATATTTTACGTTACGGTATATTTCACGTTACGGTATATTTCACGTTACGGTATATTTCACGTTTCGGTATATTTTACGTTACGGTATATTTCACGTTACGGTATATTTCACACGTTACGGTATATTTCACGTTACTGTATATTTCACGTTACTGTATATTTCACGTTACGGTATATTTCACGTTACGGTATATTTCACGTTACGGTATATTTCACACGTTACGGTATATTTCACGTTTTTGGTGTATTTCACGTTACGGTATATTTCACGTGACGGTATATTTCACGTTACTGTATATTTCACACGTTACGGTATATTTCACACGTTACGGTATATTTCACGTTTTTGGTGTATTTCACGTTACGGTATATTTCACGTGACGGTATATTTCACGTTACTGTATATTTCACACGTTACGGTATATTTCACGTTACAGTATATTTCACACGTTACGGTATATTTCACGTTACTGTATATTTCACGTTACTGTATATTTCACGTTACGGTATATTTCACGTTACTGTATATATCACGTTACGGTATATTTCACGTTATGGTATATTTCACACGTTACTGTATATTTCACGTTACTGTATATTTCACGTTACGGTATATTTCACGTTACTGTATATTTCACGTGACGGTATATTTCACGTTACGGTATATTTTACGTTACTGTATATTTCACGTTACGGTATATTTCACACGTTACTGTATATTTTACGTTACGGTATATTTCACGTTACGGTATATTTCACACGTTACTGTATATTTCACGTTACGGTATATTTCACGTTACGGTATATTTCACGTTTTTGGTGTATTTCACGTTACGGTATATTTCACGTTTTTGGTGTATTTCACGTTACGGTATATTTCACGTTACGGTATATTTCACGTGACGGTATATTTCACGTTACTGTATATTTCACACGTTACGGTATATTTCACACGTTACGGTATATTTCACGTTTTTGGTGTATTTCACGTTACGGTATATTTCACGTGACGGTATATTTCACGTTACTGTATATTTCACACGTTACGGTATATTTCACGTTACGGTATATTTCACGTTACGGTATATTTCACACGTTACTGTATATTTCACACGTTACGGTATATTTCACGTTACTGTATATTTCACGTTACTGTATATTTCACGTTACGGTATATTTCACGTTACTGTATATTTCACGTTACTGTATATTTCACGTTACGGTATATTTCACGTTACTGTATATTTCACGTGACGGTATATTTCACGTTACGGTATATTTCACACGTTACGGTATATTTCACGTTACGGTATATTTCACACGTTACTGTATATTTCACGTTACTGTATATTTCACGTTACGGTATATTTCACGTTATGGTATATTTCACGTTATGGTATGTTTCACGTTTTGATTTATTTCACTTTACGGTAGGCTTCACATCTTGCTTTGTGCCTTGTCTTATATTGATTCAGGTCATTGTGTATTTCATATAGAAGTTTCTTGATGTGTTATATTGTGTAATCTTTCACATCATTCTATCGAGATCGATTTTTATGAGAGTAACTTGACATACTGGATGTTCCTATGAAGATATAACAAAACCATGAAGTATTGACTGTATATCGTTCTCAAATGTAGTTTTTACCGTACTATTTTGCAGCAGACCAGTACAAAATGCCTGCTAAGGGGATGTTACTTCCTGCTGATGGTTACAGTCGTTGTGATGACGTATGTGGTATACAATATACGACAATCCATGACGTCACATGTTTCTGTTGAAATTAATCAAGTACAAGGGGATCATGAATACCAGACTACTCAACAGAGAAATAAAAAACGGACTTCTGCCGAGAAGCTGATATTGTTCTACAATCCTCTACACTGGTGGAAAGACTGGATGGACGGAAAGACAGACACCTCGGAGTTATTCCAGAATTGTTCCGTAAAACAATGCATAATTACTAAAGATGTGACCAAAATAGATACCAGCGACGCCGTTTTATTCAATATGCATACTTTACCTAACATTCCTGAAAAACGTAAAGGGCAGGTCTGGATTTTCTCGGAATTCGAAGCCCCAGCCAATTTTGCAGACAGAGACGTACTTGATCAGTTCAAGGGGATGATCAATTGGACATTTACATACAGACGGGATTCCGATTTCCATATTCCGCATGGACGATTTATTAAAAGGTCGGTGGAAAATGAAATGAAGGACGAAGATGTCATTTTTAAACTTTCACGTAAAGTGCGGAGTAAAGTTGCAGTAGGTTTCATTAGCCACTGTGACACACATTCAAGAAGAATGGAATTTTTACAACAAATGAAATTAAGTGGAATACTTATTGACATATATGGAAAATGTGGTGAACGGCAGTGTTATGGTAAAAATAGACACAAAACGACATGGAATATCACCCAAAATCACAAAAACAAATGTTTTTCGGCAACAGTACCAACTTATAAATTTTACATGTCTTTAGAAAATTCTCTTTGTAGGGATTATGTCACAGAGAAATCGTTAAACATGGTTTTACAATATGATGTTGTACCTGTGGTTCGTGATGGCGCTAATCGTTCACTGTACCATCCGCCGGGTTCAACAGTTGAGACTAAAAATTTCCGTTCAGCGATGCACCTTGGTATTTTTCTTTCTGGTCTTAATTCTAACAAAACTGCATATCTGGAGTATTTCAAATGGCGAAAATATTTTTATACGGAGGGAATATTAAATAGCTGGAATAATGGTATATGTGAATTGTGCAAACGTCTTCACGACCAGAAACGATACCGAAGGGTCTATGATGATATAGCTTCGTGGTTCATAAATCCTGGTCAAAAACCTGCTTGTTACAAACCGCAGGATCTGTATAAATAATTCTAAAAATATAACGCCACTGTAATATTATCCTGTTTACTCTAAAAACCTTTTCTCGTTTTTCTACTTTTTGGAATTTTACTAAAAGTTGTAATGAAAAGTATGTATTTTTCATGGAAATCATAAAAATGTTCTTTTTACCATAGATCCATATTCCGCGATTCCACTCCATCTTCCGAGATTCACTGTACTAAAGACACAGAACTAAACAACACATTTTAATGTAAATTTAGAATCACATACAATTGAGCCAAATAATGAACAAAATGGAAAATACAGCTGTTTCACACCGCCAGGACTCGTCAGTGATGTTAAGGACCTAAATTTTCAGAAACCTAACAGTCGACTGAGAAAAATCAAAATCGATTGAAATAAATGTCGCAATGTAGAAAAGGGGAGGATTCAGAAACCTTGATAAAACTCACCATGTATATTGTTTTCAAGTTAATTGATTCCTGATAAAGAAAGATATTGGTTAGATTTCGTTATTGTGCCTATACCGCCATTCGCAATATCTCCCAGAGTGCATTGCGTTACCCTAGTAACACCTCTGTAAACGGCTCACGTCATTTCAAGATTCTTGAAAAATGTAGTTTTGTCCAATAATAAAGTACTTGATTGTATTTCTGTTTTGTTATTTGTATTATTATTCTGAAAAAAGATGTTTGTTCATCTGGAAAGTGACTACATTAGTTTAATGGTGACGTTCTGGCTTATGTCGCGGAAAATTACATTTGAGTAAATGGTCACCAAATGTCATGTTTACATTTTGTACTCTCGTACCTGCCAACTTTCCCGATTCAGTCGAGTTTCCCGATTTTCTACCCAGTCCCGCTTCATCTATCGTTTGAATCAAAATTAGGGTAATCTCCCGAGTTCAAAGGTTCCGCTACATAGATCGTAAGTAACCTTGTCATGTTTGTGAAATAGATAAGGCTGATTACCTGGCCACATAATCAAGGCTTAGCTAGGCGAGTACACTCCACTGATCTAATCGTTGATCCTTGATTAGGACTCCTGAAGGCCCTGCCTAACGGTAACTTCCGATGAGGTAATTATAAAGACAATTATTACCACGTATATACTACCTATTCGGCCAAATCACAAACTCAACAAGAATTTAGTTTTAAAACGATATATGTGGTGTAACAATGTGCAGGCGTTCCTCGGTCAATACCAAAAGGTCAACCACAATCAGTCCTTAAAATCAGATCAACGAAACACTTCAGTTACTGAAAAGTTGACTAAAAATACAAGCCTATTGGGTTCTCGATAGCATACAAAAACAGTCTACAGCTGTGTCCTACGTTGGTGTTGTCAGAGATGCCGCACGACGTCACGAGTTCATCATTCATCACGTGACCTTTCAGAACTACGTTATTACCCAGACCACCGCATGATTGTCAACACTCCGTACGGCAATGATAAGAATTAGTGTTGGGTCCCTCCTAATTCAATTCCATTTTTGACGTTTCTAATGTAATGGTTATGTAAACATTCAAATATCATAATTATCATAAAGAACACAACTTTTAACAGGTATTTAATGTAATAACGTTTTTATCAGTTATGAAATGAAAATCTAACCATTTAGTCCCTTTTAATGGGAAAATTAAAATGATAATGAAAAAACCGCACTGTAAAAATACAGGACAATACAACAGCTTCACCTTAAGGACTAAACGTGACCATACCTCGGACAACTTATTCCAACAATTTAGTGAGTATTTTTTAATCGACAACATTAGGCTCAATATGCATCATTTTACATGTACATTCAATATAATAGACAAATAGATAATAGTTTATCATACAAAAGCCTAACATCTGAATTGAGCAGATTGAACAGACATTGAGGACTTGGCGAACACCATACACTCAAGATATCTGTACATTTTTCATTATTATATATGATTCTGTTATGACTTTATCAGATTTCTAAACAATTCTTTATCAGTTTCGTTAGTATGTTGGGTGCTAATGAAGATATCAAATCAAAAGGAAAAACTTCAGAGTATGAACTATGTTTTTGACTGTTTCATCATTGAACAGTGATTTGTATGAATTACTTTTTCACATCTTTGTTTAATGCTTGGTTTATCAGTGATTACAAAACATTACTTATTTCAGGACAAGTTATGTGTTTGTGTATATTAGTATGTTCAGAAGTTAACCAAAATTTTGTTTACACATATCTGTATAATAGCACACGCACGCTGGTTTATCTCAAAGCGTACATCTTTCGCTTTTCCATACCTATTGTCCCTCCTGATATCCGTCCTCGTAAGACCGACCGTTTCAAGGAAGACGGCGATGGTCGTGTAGTGACTGGTTTGCCCGTTGTCTGTATATTGTGACCGGTAAGGCTGTCATGAGTGTCTCGGGCGTTTACATATGTGACCGGTTAGGCTGTCACGAGTGTATCAGGCGTTTACATATGTGACCTCTAGGGCTGTCACGAGTGTATCGGGCGTTTACATATGTGACCTCTAGGGCTGTCACGAGTGTATCGGGCGTTTACATATGTGACCTGTAGGACTATCATGAGTGTCTCGGGCGTTTACATATGTGACCTGTTGGACTGTCAAGAGTGTCTCGGGCGTTTACATGTGGCCAGTCGCATTATTCGCACTATTATGTCGGCTTCATTCGTACATATCGCAGCGTCCCGAAAACACTCATTCATCATATTCGCTCTCTGCACCCCTGAAACAGCTGATGGCAAAATGGACGGTTCCGTGGGTAAGAGAGTTCGATCTGTGATGTATATCTAGCGAATCTCTAAGTCGCCTAATGGTTTGACGTACAGACTTTCCAGTTTGGTGTCATAGCAGTCTGTAATTAGTCTTTTTATGCCCCTGAATTGAAATGTCAGTGGCATATTGAGTTTGTGGTGTATGTCTGTTGTCAACTTTAACCTTATCCATAACTATTGCATCGTAAGAGGTAGGGCGTTCATATTTGGCATGTATGTTCCTTGTAACAAGACCTTTTCGACCATGTGACCTGGACCGTGACTTTTGTCTTTCATTTGAACGCATAAAAAATATTACCACATTGAAGACGTAAGTGTTTCACAAGGTGTGCAAGCAATTAGTACATACCTTACACAGTACAGTTTTAATGTCCCACTTCAGAATTTTGTTGCGACCGAGGTTTTAGTGATTCATAAAGACCGGATTTACCGCCGAGTTTGCGGTAACGGGACATTACAATTATCATGTGCGAGAAACGGACGCTAGTTCTTTAATGACTGCGACGAAGGCCGGTTTAGTGCCTCATAACGAGTGATCGTTGGATTCGTGGTAGAGCTACGTCTTACATCAATAGCGATGTCAGACAGGAAGCAAGTTTTCAATCGCATATTTATTAATTTTTATTGCTGCACTGACTTACAGATCTTAGACCGTTATCACTGACATAATGGTTGACCATTTTAATCTCTTGCTATTAAAAGTTGAACAATCACTTAGGTAATATCGGCCGTGTGAGAAAAAATATTATTTTCAATACTTGATATTTTTAGTTATTTCTTTAATTTTTATACAAAGTAAAACGGATGTTTTTCGTGTATCATCTACACGTTAAGTTGTCGTGTAATTATTTATTTAACGAAATATTACTCTAAATTTTCATCGTAGTTCAAACGATACTCTAAAGTTTTTTTATGTAAGTGTGTGGTTGGATTTAGTGGGATTTTTTCTCTCATGGCGTTATAGAAGGGGGATATATCCGCTTGTTTAATGTGCAATTTATACAAATGAAATAAATAATACATAGTTAGCATTTTATTTCCGACAGATTTGAAGTACAATACAATAAATTGGTGTGTAGTTTATTCGCCGTAATCGGTGATGTAGATAGCTCCGTTCTCACAGTTCAGTGAGTTATAATGCGCTGACATGGCCAATTAGCTACCTTTTTGCGATTGACATTGGCGTGTTGACGTGTTGATAACTATCACTCCAGTCATCAAAACTGTAGTTTCTTGTACTTATAAAACATTGTTTCGTTATATCAAAGTCGGAGGTAAATCAGTCGTACAGGATATGTAAAACGATGATACAATGCAAGGAAGAAGTATGATAAGTTTCAACATTTGTATGACCTTAAAACACCAGACTGTGCAAGTAATATTATTCGATGTTGCTTTTTATGAATTCCGCCATTCGTCTTTTAATTTATCTATGATATCTTTGCGTTTTTTATAACAAAGACCATCACATAGCTGCCGCCTTGTACTGAACAACATATGGTTCAAGCATTTTTTAAGAATGTCTTTGGCCTGTTCCTGAATTCCATCCTTGTCATGTCTTGAAGCATGTATTTCAGCCTCGTGTATGCCAAAATACCTAGCAAGGGACGGATATTGAGCTCCAATTTCTTTGGACACTCTCAGTATGTCTATTTCGGTAATCAGTGTACCCAGGGACGGCGCGTCCACTTCATACAATTGGTATTTACTTCTACGTTGTACTCCTTGCTCTGCAATATCCCCCCTGCCTGCTTCATTCAATGCGTCATGCAAGGCTTTTATCTTTTCATCGCCGTTTTTGCTTGTTCTTCGAAACCATTCCCATAACACCTGAAAGCATTGCTCGTGTTGAACATTTTTGTTATCTGCCGCTATTTGCATTTGTTTGTCAAATTCAATACCAAGATGGACGGCAACTGTGGTTGTGTCCTGAGACGGTAATTTATCCGATATCCAGTCCAGGTAAAACTGCCAATCTGGAACAGGTAGAGATCATCTGTGAGACATCAATGTACGTTTTCTTATAAATAAGACAATACCAAAAATGATAATCAGGTATATGCTGTTGACATTTTGAATATGATTTTGTCATTATTTTATTATTAAGTTTCTTTATCAAAGAAAATGTCACTGTTGTTTTAATCTTTCAGAAGTGATTTCCACTTTCACTTAAAGATCTTGTGTTCAGAACATAATTGTGTATATAGATCATACTCAAAATTAATATTTTTAATGCTAATTTTCACGGGTCGAATTTTAAAATGATCGAATTGTATTTCAATTAATTTAAATTTCGCGATTTGGATGTACAAGGGCATTTTAAAGTTACGCGTCTCAATATTGCACTGATTAACTTTTCGCGAATACTGCAATATACCGCGAAAAGTCGAAAATATAATCAACGTGAAAATAAGTGGCTATACAGTATATTCTCTACAGTGTAGTTTTGGAGTGCATCTCATTGTCCTCTCTTACTATTTTTTTCTTTGTCATATAAGTCAATTCTATTTTAGAGATAAACAAATGCCTATGATTTTCACAGATTTCTTTAAATTCGTTAACATTATGATTTTTTGAGTGTTCTAATCACGCTAGTTCAACAGAATGACGAATAATCACCGCGTTTACAATACATAATACCTGTATTGGTTTTCGGAGAATTGGAGGCCTCGTTCGTTTCAACAACTCCTGGATCATTTCCATGGTAATCTATGTCTTTTGGTTCGGTGTTAGGCTCTTTTCTGTAGCAATGGCTATCTGGAGTACAAAACCACGAATTTAGTAATAAGAAAATGATAATAATGCCAAAAATATCTTCAGCTGTCAAGTACAGGTATGACTGTTTTCCAATTACAAAACAATATTAAAACAGATGTAGTGCACTACGTACAAGTATCTTATATTATAAATGATATAGTCACGTGTATGAATACAGATATATAATTACTCATGAATACAAATAATTACTGATGTATAGAAATAATTACTCATGAAGATGGATAATTACTCATGAAGATGGATAATTACTCATGAATACAGAAAAAATGTAAAGTAATATACATAACTGTTCATGAATACATATATATATGATTGCACAATAATATAGATAATTACTCATAACTACAGATATATAATAACACCTGGATATAGATATAATTACACCTGGGTATATATATCATTATACGTGGATAAAGATATATAATTACACCCGGTAATAATTTATATATATACGTGGATAAAGATATATAATTACACCTGGTAATATATATATATATCATATATCACGTGGATATAGATGTATAATAATTACACGTGGATATAGATATATAATTGCATCATTAAATATGTTTGCAACTGTAATTACACAAGTTTAGAGTACCTGTTTCAGTAAAGTTGGAGTTCTCTCCCGTTGTTTTGTCGCCTCTCACATTGTTCATTTTCTCCGTATATTCAAGGACTTTTCTCATCATTAGTGGATGAACACGCTTCAATTTGTTTGTTAGTTCTTTATAATTCCCATATGCTATTCTGTCGTATTTCATCAAACATTCTAGAAGTTCGTATATACTTTTGATACGAACTATATCCCTCGGAGTTAGTGGGTTGTTACTGAACAGATTTATTAACTCAGTTAATTCATTTCCCCTCATATTGCAGTGAAGATGATAAGCCATTTCATTGTGTAATTCTATAACTTCTGGAGGAACATTGGTAAGATTTGCCATTATGCCATCACCTGAAACAGAAAATTAATCCCACAATGTCGCCTGTTACACATAGGTGCAAGTAGTCACGTGTACGACTATGGTTCCGCATACATAATAAAACAATTTTCATGATTCAATAAGAGTTATCAGTGTTGAATGTTTCACCTTTCTTTCTATCATCATAATTTATCATAAGTAACTATATATTCACTGATAATACATAAATTTTGTTAGGATCTTTAACTGAAATTAACTTCCTGTTTTCGATGTAGGTCACACATACCGGACTGTACACACACACAAATATATACTTAAGCATAGAGGTTTTGAACAAGATTAAGCAACAATTTCACCAGACACATGTCCCAAAGGTAGTAAAAATAATTTCATAACGGTAACAATTCAATAAGCTGTCATAGAGATCACTTCGTTCCATTTGCGAGATGCGTACTCACCTATGGGTTTGACTACTGTTTATTTTTCAATATTAGTCACGTGATGTTATGGGGTCTATCACAAGTCTGCGTTGGGCATGCACAGGCTAGCGTTATTTTCTCAACATGTTAGTACTGGGTTCAATGGCAAAGCTGCTGTATAGGGCAGTCTTCTACGCATGATCCAGATAAGGTATATATAATAATTTAAGTAAGGTATATCAAGATGAACCACACAGACTTACTCCTGTCCCCTAAATACACATATATGGACAGTTTGTTGTGAATTCGTGACAAAATTCTATGATATGATTTTTTTTCTCTGTGAAAATGTGAAATAAATGTGTTTTTCGTTGAATGTCTCTTGCAATAATTATGTAACAATTAATTTGATGATACATGCATATCCAGACCAGTTTTACCTGTCAGTTATTATCCCTGTACTAAAATGGTATCATACTGCAGCTGTTTATATAAGGCATTTCATGTCGCTGTCTCGCTCCGGAAACCATGTATAATATTTACCGGATTTATCGCTCCACACACAGCCTTGGAATTTATGGTTAAACTTTGAGATAGCAGGTAATAGACAACGCCCGTTGTTTGCCTTAATCTAACCTCCACGTTTAAATTCATACACGTGATTCTAAAGGCCAGGATGACTTATAGCCGTGCGTAAACTTTCTATTCATGAAAATTACTTTTTCTCAATAACCAAAAGGCCCAAGGTATCGATATTAGGAATATTGCATGTTGGGATGTATAACGATAAAGTTGTTTTAATATGAATGGCCTAGACCTAATTCCAAGGTCACAGGGGTCAAATATGTTAAAACATTTAAACAATGCCTGTAGCATACTAGGATGAAGGACCACCAATTTCATTCAAATGAACGACATTGATTCACCTCAAAGGTTACATGGGTCAAATGCTTTAAAACCCTTCGACGGCTTCACAATAATCAAAATGCTCAATGTACTGATATTAGACCTGTGCAGAGTTACCAAGTGTGTTCAAACGAATGACCTTGGTCGTCATTCAAGACCACATTGGTCAAATGTGTTAAATCTTTAATCTTCTAAATAACTAAAAGGCACAGTGTGCTGATACTCGGCCAGATGCATTCTGAGGTGAACTGCTTCAAAGTTTGTTCAAATGATTGACATTGACTCACTTTCAAGGCCACATTGGTCCAATGGTTGGGAATCTTTAAACAATTTCTTAAAACCAAAGGGTTCATGCTATTAATATGGGTTCTGAAACAGGAATAGATTAAGGACTACCAAAATGTCTTCAATAATTCACCTCGACTCGCTTTTAAGGCTTGAGGTGTTATATATGTTTACGGGGCGTAGCTAGCCCAGCAGAAATGTGTAAGCCCAGACGAAGGGTCTGAATTTCATGATTTCAAAGATATTATGAATCGTTTTCTGAGACAATTTTTTTTTATTTATTTAACTACAAACTTCAACCCCTGATATTTATTTTCAACCTTAGTTTTGTAATTTTGTCCAACATACTCTATACACGGATTCGTTATGTGTAATCGCGGGCTTTTTCTTTCTACGGAAGCTACGCCCCTGGTTTAAATATTTAAATAGGCTCTTCATAATAACCAAAAGCTTCAGGTTGTTGATATTTGCTCTGTAGTATGCTGGAATGAAGTGTTACCAAGTTTGTTAAAAATAATGACCTTAACCCACTCTTTAGGTCACATTGGTCAAATGTGTGGAAATCTTCAATCATCTTCTTAATTACCAAAGGTCCAAATATTGATATTGGTTCTGTAACTTTATCTGATGAAAGGCCACTAAATTGATTCAAATATTTGACTTTGACCCACTTTCAAGGTCACTGGATTCAAATGTGTTTATAACTTGATACTTCGCCTTTCAGCAAGCAATCGGTCATTGGTTATGGTTTTCGTGTTGAGGCATGAATGAAGAATATGATTTTAAGTTTTCTTTGCAAGCTGTAGAACACATGAACAATTCAGGCCCATTGGGCCTTTGTCATATGTAGGACTTTTGTAGTCAGATGTGTCGCATTCATAACTTGAAGTTGATTGTAGTTGATTGTATTTTGTCTATTTGTAATGTACATAGCTAGTTCCCTGTTCTGGGGCCTCATAAATATAACTTGACCACCCCTATAATTTGGGGTTTGAACCATTCCATTATCACAGGTGTGTAGGGACGGTCTGTAATAGAAGGGAAAATAGGTCTATTTATAGCGCGTTATTGTTATGATGTACAAGGGAAGTGTGTTTATTATGTCCCACTGGGTGACGCCCAGGTATTGAGCAGGTAAAGCATGCACCTGTGGGGTATGTACGTGTCGGGCTAGGGTGATTTGATCATTCGAGAAAGAACTTGGCAAGAGAGACGTCATGTGTGAATAGCTTGGCAAGCAGGCATCAGCAGCGCTGACTTCTGGGGTGAGTGTTAAATATTGAGTTAGCAAATGGTCAGGTTTCCCAGTTCGGTGCAGGAATTATTACTAGCATTATATGTAATGGTACGGCAAGGTGTAGGCTTATTCTCAAACCGGTGGCTCTCAATGTCAGCTACGTGACATTTAATTTAGTATTGTAAGTGAAGCTGTAGTGGTAGTCCAGTTGGTGTTATAGTAGTAGTATTATATTTAACAGTGTAAATGTTAATACAATTTAAATAGTGTTTGAGAAATTAGTAGAAATATTGTGTATTTTATATAAGCATGATTTTCTTGTGTGTTTAGCGTAACTTTGGTACTAGTTACAAAGGTTAAATGTGAGCGAAATATGCTGCATAATATGTAACGTAATGTGCATACGTGCGCACCGTGTGTAACCAGTGACACTGACATTGTGTTATTATTTCGTAGGTTTCAACCCCTAACGGTGACCTACTGTAGAGGTGACCTTGACGGTCAGTGGGTTATGAAGCTCATGTCCATGTGGAATGGACAGCAGTACATGTCTACGATCTAATGCTGGACAAAATGGACAGTAGTACACGTCTACACTCTAATGGTGGACAAAATGGACAGAAGTACACGTCTACACTCTAATGGTGGACAAAATGGACAGTAGTACACGTCTACACTCTAATGGTGGACAAAATGGACAGTAGTACACGTCTACACTCTAACGGTGGACAAAATGGACAGTAGTACACGTCTACACTCTAATGGTGGACAGTAGTACACGTCTACACTCTAATGGTGGACAAAATGGACAGCAGGACACGTCTACACTCTAATGGTGGACAAAATGGACAGTAGTACACGTCTACACTCTAATGGTGGACAGTAGTACACGTCTACACTCTAATGGTGGACAAAATGGACAGTAGTACACGTCTACACTCTAACGGTGGACAAAATGGACAGTAGTACACGTCTACACTCAAATGGTGGACAGTAGTACATGTCTACACTCTAATGGTGGACAGTAGTACACGTCTACACTCTAATGGTGGACAGTAGTACACGTCTACACTCTAACGGTGGACAAAATGGACAGTAGTACATGTCTACACTCTAATGGTGGACAGTAGTACACGTCTACACTCTAATGGTGGACAGTAGTACACGTCTACACTCTAATGGTGGACAGTAGTACACGTCTACACTCTAATGGTGGACAAAATGGACAGTAGTACACGTCTACACTCTAATGGTGGACAGTAGTACACGTCTACACTCTAATGGTGGACAAAATGGACAGTAGTACACGTCTACACTCTAATGGTGGACAGTAGTACACGTCTACACTCTAATGGTGGACAAAATGGACAGTAGTACACGTCTACACTCTAACGGTGGACAAAATGGACAGTAGTACACGTCTACACTCTAATGGTGGACAGTAGTACACGTCTACACTCTAATGGTGGACAGTAGTACATGTCTACACTCTAATGGTGGACAGTAGTACACGTCTACACTCTAATGGTGGACAGTAGTACACGTCTACACTCTAATGGTGGACAAAATGGACAGTAGTACATGTCTACACTCTAATGGTGGACAAAATGGACAGTAGTACACATCTACACTCTAATGGTGGACAAAATGGACAGCAGGACACGTCTACACTCTAATGGTGGACAAAATGGACAGTAGTACACGTCTACACTCTAATGGTGGACAAAATGGATAGTAGTACACGTCTACGCTCTAATGGCGGGCAAAACGGGGAGTTGGCCCAAGCCCGGGCCGGTTAATTGGCAACACCCTACAGTGGAATTGTTGCAGCCAAAGCGTATTTGATTCGGTGGACCGTCATACCTGGAATGGCTTCGTTGGAAAAACCAGACTTTGTCGAATTATTTCTAATTATTTGTTGTAAATAAATGTATATAGTTATTTAGTCAGAATTTTAGTCATCTGTCCCCTCCTCGGCCGCGACAAGATGACCGTTAATGCCTACGGGTTCATCTTCGTTTCATTGATTTCGTATTTTAATATTCTTTTGAAAATGATTTTTTTGTGGATAAAATCAGTTGAAAGGTGCTTAATCTTTGTTAATTTTAGACAATATTTTATTGAGAGTTAATTATCTGCTGTAGATAGCGGCGTATTTGGCTCCTCCAGTCTGCATGGGAGATGAGCTTATTCGTGGCATGGCGTCAATCGCCCACCCGATTTCTAGTGTCCGGCGTCCCCAACCCGACTTTTCAAAAACTCGCGGAACCAATTGGAAATTGACGACTTTTTAAATAATTCTTCATGAATTGCAGGATTTTGTTAAAATTAATTTGAAGCATCTTGGCTGAAAGGAACTAAATTTTGTAACAACGACGGGACTCTCCTTCATACAGGCTGAGGCTGTGACCCAATAGGAGAAATATGTGTAATCTCTGGAATCCATCCTTTTGAATTGCAATGAAAATATCTTCAAATATTCCTGAGAAAAGTGGATTTAATATTATTTAAATCAAGTGCCAGCATACGGACAGGTCCAATATTCGAAATAGAGAGAAGAGTTAAAACCCCCTTTTTTACTTGGATGTAGGTATTTTGCCAAATTTTAGTGTGAATAGAATTCCGCATATTTTAAGCGAAAATATAACAATATAAAGTAATCATGAATGAAAATAGTTATATTGAATACTGAAATATCCAGGTTAATGTAAATGATGACTTGTTTATACATCTTATACTGAAGTGTACTGTATTGTGTACTGTTTTATGGTACTTTGAAAATGCCATAAACGTATAGAAAAATAAAGAAATGGCATGTAATTATTATTTCTTTAAAAAGTTTAATTTACAATATCTAACCATAACGTTTAACTCAACATTCACTCAGACTTAACTGATGCAATCTAAGTAATAAAGTTCTCGATTTTCCTGAAATTTTCACCATAACCTGTGCACTCTTCACGATAGTCAAGTAATATGTAAAGCCTTTTGGTGTACGAGAACCTGAAGTTGGGACATCAACATCCTCGATGCTCCAGGGGTTCCGATCACTTTCGCTCTCTGCACTCCTGGAACATATGGCAACTATCGTGTATCTAATGTCAGAATAATCCTGGTTTTTTGTCCAGTCTCGATGAAAATTGTCTTATGTAAACTTAAAGTAATAGGTGGTATAGTAAGGAATATATACGAATGGATGGTGGATTGACGTGATTGATTTCACTTTACTGATGTGTAGGTTAATGGTAATGGACATCACATATTTTTAAAATTCATGTCATCCAAGCTTGGAACTTTCCTTCAGTCTGCAATTTGACTCACAGATCCTATTTCTTATCCACCTTTCGTTGCAATCATTTACCCACCAGTTTCTGTTCATTCTTACCCATTACTGTTCATGCTGTTGAGTACAGGTTTAATATTGTCTACAAATTCCTCTTGATTATTTAAAACAAATCAAGTTATATAAACAATAACACGTATTTCTATTGTATAATCCAAATGTTACATATTAGGTCGACTTATCATCTCACGGTAGTGCATTTTGTAAACGATTCAAAACGTTTAATTACGAGACCAGTATTCATTCATTTCTTCAATTAGTTGTGAATTCCCAACATAGTAAATTCCGTCACAGAGTTCTTTGCGGGTATTTGGAAACTTTCGACGAATGCAAGCCTCAACTATTTCTTGTCCTTGCTTCACCGATTCATGGTTGTCGTTGACAATCCGCGCTATATCCTCTTCTGCCAATTTGAAATATCTGCCAAGTCGGGTACAAGCGCCTCCAATTCGTTTGGCTACTTTCAGGGCTTCGATACCTTCTTTCACCTCTTTTTCTCCGTCGCAAACACTTTTTTTGTATTTACTACGAGTTGGAATTTCCTTCGTAGCCAAAAGCTTCTGCCCGGCGGCTTCCAATGCCTCGCGGAGTTTTGTTAGCCTATCAGTATCATTTTTGCATTTTTCGTCGGTTTGAAACCACTCCCACAGTGTTTGAAAACATCTTTCGTGTTCCGTGTTGTATTGCTTCTTGATAATTACCAATTTATTAGTTGGAAGCCCCAAGTGAGTCGCCAACTCATCCACACATGCGGACAAATTTGGTGCTAACGTGTCAAAATAATACTGCCAATCTGAAACAATACTAAAAAGAGTACTGGGGGGCGTAACACTATACACCAGCGAAATGCTCACAAAATTCTTAGTATATAATGAATTGAAAAGAATACAAATTTGGAAATAATAAAAACTCAAAATACCAAAAGGGGAAAACAATTCTTAAGAGAAAGAAATCTCGGGGACAGGATTAAAATACTGAAATGCACAAATGGGTTATAACATTATGAAATATTGTTGAATCAAAATGATGCACGTACTCATGTTGAGGTTTTCAAGCCTATCATGTTTTGAAAAATGGTTTTTAAAAAGGGAGAAAATATCTGGACAAGACAAAAATGTTGAAAAAAGCAACGAAAGCAAAACACAATGGACAAAAAACTGTAATTTGTAAATTCAGGATGACATGAAAGCAAACGCAATTTCACGCAATAGTTATGTTATAAAGCCTACCCACTCCTCGAAAAATAGGTGAAAACTTTACTTTGCTAAATTGTTAGATCAAACTGCCCCGTAGCAAAACACAACATCATATGGTGAATGAGCGCACCAAGTCTGGAAGAAATCGGTTGTAAACTGAAAGAGGAGATCTCCGGATAAGGTTAGCATTATGGAAACAAGGGATCGTAACTCTTCTCAATTGAATTAAACTGTCGTTTAAGGGAAACACAACTTCGTGCCATGGTAAATATGTCTACCAAATATGAAAAACATCGATTGAAAAAGGAAGGAGGAGATCTCCGGGCAAATAAAAGTTTACAGTGCCATTCTATAATACGTCACGCCAAAACTTTTGACCTACGTATAAAAATCAAGATTGACTCGCACTTTTTTTTAATTTGCATTCAGTGGTCAATGAGAACGCTAGAATTAAGAATTTAACTTATTATTGATGATAAAGTTTCAACAATGTTGGAAGTATTTATTTCGTACTTTTAATAGCATATTAAAATAACTAAATATGATTTCTCCTTTTCCTGAATGTGTTAAAACCATCATTTGAAAAAAAAATCTTAAAAGAATAGAAAAATAACAACAGAAAAATCTCGTCGTGAAATTGTATTTAGAAAAGCAACGGATAATTTTATTTCTCTTTCCTTTAAAGAATAAGAAATTAATAACAATCATTCATTCATTTACTTAAAATGTAAATAAAAATACCATTACCAATAATAATATCATTTGAAGCCTAAAGTAAGAAAGTTAAGGAAATCTCACCTATTTTGCAATGATCGCCCCTAGCCCCACCACCTGTAATTCGAAAGAGGAGAAAATCATTATGATCAGCATAATCACCTGTGTCTTTGGTGGGAGGCACACAAATTGCATAGAATTATTTATTTGCTGGTGTTAATATTTGATGTTTTCCTATTGTTGCAGGTTCAATAGGACTACAACATTTAAAACTAGCTTAAACAGTAAAAGTATGTCTATAATTGGTATTCATGTATGTAGGTCAATAAAACAAATACGTATTTTTCTTAGTATAATAAAATTAAATATCCCGCAAATAGTAACAACCATACAATATAATATTACTTGCATGTCAAACATTTTTATGGATCAAATAATATAAATACATAAACATATACGAAGACACCATTTAACATTCAACGAACGAAACCAAAGTACGATTTGATAAAGGACCCGATTCACGGTTCATGTAATTTTGCCCAAATCCCAATTTAATCTTTATTGTGTGTTATTTGTAGTAGCCCAACAGACTCCCATGGGTGTGAGCTAGGGTCGCATCTTTCTCCAAAACTTGTTTAAAAACCTATAATAAATAATTATGTTGATAAAATAATTTTCATTAAAGCTTGCTGCGTGTTTTGAATTCAAATATAAAGCTAGATATTGCAAATTAAAAAAAGTCCAATAAATCCAAGATTTGGAATACTGTTTGACATACTAACAGTTGCTGGTCACCTAGAATATTTACATATTTTGTGCAACATATTGGTTCTTAAAGTACCGAAAATGTTATGGAATTCCGGGACCGGTAAAATCGTTCCAGGGACAGAGTTTCTTGTGAAACCTCTGTAACTTAATCGCAACCAATATAATTACTCTATTCACTATAGCAAAGACTGCAATATCTGCAAAACTATAGCATCGAGAAATAGTGAGAGACTGAAATCACAAACCATGCGTGTAGGTTTTAAGGAAAGGAATAACAACACTGCCGTGTCATTCAAGGTCGTGTAGTTACATCGTGTAGGACATGAATAACATCATCATTGCAACACCATAATGAAGAATCTATCGTCTGAATCGATGGTCTCTTCGGGTCTGGTTTGCGTATTTTTTTCATTAGTATTAGCCCAATCATAAAACGAATGAGCAAGCAAGATAACCTTAACCCGCGTCCCTCGAAGCCATGTGTGAACTGTGTTAACACCATAGGACCGGGGGTGCGGTAGTTGCTCTCCAGAACTGGAAGCAATCTATCCATGAAATTCAGTCTTTAGCGTGACAACGCAAAGAAAAGGAACATTTTTCTAGAAACATTTTCGGCAGTTATCTTAATATACTTACATTTGTATTATCGCTTTATAAACTGACCAGAAAGATGCGTAATTCGAATGTTTTATGACATTTATGGTCGATATTAATGATATGTTGCATATATCAATGTTAAATCTATATTCAGTATGTTACTTGTTATACAATTGTGTTACCACTCTATTTCTATGCATTTATTAAATTGAAACGAAACCTTTTTTTTACAATGAGATATCATTGATCTTACTTATTTATATGTTTCAATGTATTTAATATATACCACTGATTTGTAACTCTATTACCCTGTATGCCATGTAGATT